ATGTTCCGGTTCGTGCTGGGCCCAGCGGCCATGCCCTATGGGCAAAAGCCCAGCCCCCAGGTGCTCGCTCACGGGCCCCAACCCCAGGCCTGGCTCCAGGGTGGGACCTCTGTAATAGAGCCCTGCGCGGGACTGTTTTCTTCATCCCGCTCCTGCCCGCTCCCGCTGAATTTCTGACCATTACCGCCCGCACCCGCAACGTGCGTGTTACACTCCCGCCCGCAACCGCAAAACTCGGAGAAATTATTACCTCACAATAAAAGAGATGTATTGAGTTTGCGTCCTCTCTGGTCCTGGAGAAAAAATGTCACAACCCGCGGCTCTTCCATCCATCTGATGCAGCTCTCTGTGCTTGTAAAATAATGAATGGATATTTAAATAAAATGCTTTATATTTTACTGCATTAATTTTATATCTATGTTGATTCTAAATGTAAAGATTGTCTGCGTAAACCTGAACAGTTCCAATCCGGTCTTAAGACCGGGTTGACGGGTCACGCTTGTGCGTAATCATATCGGCGCTTCCTGAGGATGTGAGATTCTGGGCTTCTCCTCAGACAGGCTCAGGGATGTGTCGCCACATTGGAGACAGGAGCAAGCGCTATTCAGCCAAAGTTTCATAATCAGGGAAATTTTTCTAAGTGACAAGTCTCTCTGAGAGACCGGGTTTGGAAAACACTCGCTTCAGTGGGAGGAATCTTCCATGCGCTCTGGTTCTGCGACATGCTCCAAGCCCCTCTCCACATCTTCAGCTTGCTGTGCACCGTCCGTGCTGACAGCGAGCTGCGCTGAGCTCAGTGTCCAGCTCAGATATTCAGATGGGAATCTTTTCTTGGGCGATTTAGCTACATCTGCGTCAGTTCGTCTGCATGCGTCGGGGTAATTATTTCTATCTCTTCCGGTCAACACAACACAAGTCCTGCTTTTAACTGTTTTGTTTTCTTGTGAAAATTGTTGGAAAGAGATAAAATTGAACTTGATTACCACCAGAGCCGCGCACTGCGCCGTTATCTCAGTGACTGTAAATGAGGGGAAAACAAATTGATCAGATTCTGCACATCTTTTAACACATTGGTCAGGTTTGACGCACTTTGTTTTCATTTAGTTTTTAACCCTTTATGCCGATGCGTCACCATCACCGGTGACGCCTGGCGCATTTGATTTCAAATAACTCCTCACTACTTAAACTATACAATTCTTAAAAAAAAAAAAAACATAAAGGAGCTATTGTGTGGTGCTTAAAGGGTTAATGAAGTCAAGGCCGTTTCATATTCTATTCTCCTCTCTAATCAGGCAGTGATTGGGGTCGCTATTCTAAGAGACCTGAATGAGAAATATTAACACAATCGGAGAAACTCCTCCAAATGTCTGACTTGCCTTTCTTTGGTTTTTGTGTCATAAAGACCTTGTTTCAGCTTCTTTTCAACATCAGTTGCCGACTCCATCATACTCATCCCGATCCCGCACTGTTACTTTTAGCCGACCTTTCCCGCCCGCAGCAAAGTTCACACCGCCCGCTCCCGCAAGATTTGTGTTGGGTCCCGCGGGACCCAATCCCGATGCAGCCCTCTACTCTGTAACCCTCCGGGATGGGTACGCTGGCTCTTTGATCTCACTTCCACAAAGAGTCTTCTGAACCGCACTTTGTCTCACCCTTCACGCAGGACCAGTTTGCCATGGGTGACCCTACCAAGGGCACAAAGTGTCCCTGACAACATAGCTCCTAGGATTCTAGGGGCACTCAAACTCCTCCACCACGATAAGGTGGCGGTTCAAGGAGGATCTTATATGTTTTTTCTTTAGTGTAAAGCTAACTATGTGTCTGTTGCTGCTGCCTCTTGGCCAGGTCGTCGTTGTAAATGAGAATGAGTTCTCTATCGACTCATCTGGATAAATAAAGGCTACATAAACAAAACAGAATCAAATCAGAGGCGGTAGGTAAAGAGAGAATGACCGAGAGAAAGTCAGAGAGAGAAAGAAAGAGAGGGAGGGAATGAGAGCTCACAGGTTTAGAGTTCTCTGAAACTTCAGTGTTTGCTCCAACTATCATGTCCGTGAATGCCTTCAGCTCCTGCTCAACCTCATCCCCAGTGGCTTTGGGGTTCTCCTCCAGGAACTAAATCAAACACACACACACACACACACACACACACACACACACACACACACACACACACACACACACACACACAGTAGGTAAAAAAAACATGTCAACAGTGACTAAGGAACTGAAAATATGGATTATTTCTATTTAGGTCATTAAATGCCCTGAAATAAAGCCAACACATATCTATCTGCACATGCAACGATGTCCAGGACTTACCCGGCTGAGGACCTGTTCGGTCTGATAGACCTCCTGCATGGCTCCATGGTCCACTAACCTGAGCTGGTTCAGCAGCAGGTGGATGGCAGTGCGTGGGCAGGACAACATATGACAGGCCAAGCATGTCCCTCGGATCAGCAGGTACAGTCTCTGTTGGGTGGGAGCAGAGCAGACTCAGAAACTGCTAACATCAGTGTGTAGAACACAACTGTCGCCACAGGTTACGCTGCAGCACCACGGGGCCCACCTGCACTACCCCTAACCCTGGCTCTAAAGCCGATCTTCATCCACGTGCGTCACACGTCACGTGATCAGGAAGCAGAACACCCACGTGTTAGATCGTTTTGGGCCGCTGCTGTAAAAAAAGTGAGGCGCGAACCAGAAAGGCTTCTGCTGATCACAATTCAACAACGGATTATGAAAGAACGGATAACGCTCGAAACGCGCAGATTCTTCCTGATGAAGAGGTTAGTCTCCGCTTTGTTTTGGTTGTTTTGGCGTCGACATCATCCTAGCGCGCAACGTTCTGTGACTCTTAAAAAAACTGTGAAAATGCTGAAAACCGCTGGCAGCGAAGGGGTTTACTGATCAGGAAACGGCTGGCAGTGAATGAGTAAAGAGTGAACGCAGCTATAAAACCAAGCAACTGCTACATTTGCTAGTCTAACACCAGTTAGTGGCCATAATATTATTTATGTTAGAGCCACATACGATTTGTGGAAGTTATATTCTGTGACAATCTGTTTTATATTTGATTTTTGTCATGCCTAGTAATTAAGGTTAATTTCAGTTTAGTATTATTTTGAAGTACAGACTTTTATTTTGAAAGTATCACTTCTGGTTAAGCTGTAATGTTTATGTTTAAGATTCTAGATAAAGGAAGCATGGATTAATATAGTTTTCCATCGTGTTTCTTGTTGGAATTAAGGAAAACAGACTAAAGTGTTAAGAGAAGTTCATTTTTTCTTGTACTTTTTTTCAAAATAAAGATTAAAATTCACAGTTTTGCAAGCATCCTTTATATATTTAAATACAAGGCATGTTTATTAGGGCTGTAACGGTCCGCTAAAATTGTGTTCGGTTCAGTTCAGTGTTTTGAAGAGCTCGGTTTGATTAACTTTCGGTATATTATTATTATTATATATATTTATTTAATATCTGAAGCGGCTCCTATAGTGAGCAGAAGCAGGTGTCATCACAGGCTGCTGATGTAGCATGATGTCTGATTATTTCACAGGTTATTAGTGCAGCTGAGTGTCACGCTCATACAGAAACGTGTTGTGTTTGACTGTTGATGCTCCTGTTTTTATTTCTGCAGCGAGCCTTAAAAACTCACGTCACACCGCCCAGAGTTTCTTCTTTAAAACTCGGATTAAGTTACGAGCTACCTCAGCACCGTATTTTTGTTGTAGGATGAAATCTTTACATCAGTTGTCCTGGGGGAAAGTTCAGCAGACGTGTTAGTTTACATTTTAGCTGCTGCATGCCGGTACACTGTGAGAGAAGGGAGGGAGGGGCGACGCAACGCTCCGTTCAGCGTCTCTACGGGCTCCAGCAGCAGCGACAGCCAGCTGGTTTTACCCGCTCTGACAGGCGTTGATCAGAATTTGCAGATCACATTTTTTAAACGGAGATCGGGCGCCCCGCCCTGTGTCGAGTCTACACACTAGCATGTAGCTAGTGTGCTGCTCATCTCCAATCATGGAACAAGAGCTGATGTAAAAGGTCACTCTTTTCTTATTTTTGGACAGGGAGCCTAAGTCACTTCCACACCACGTTTCCCCGGAAGAATGAAAAAAACGAATGCAAGTCAACGGGGCTAAAAACACTCTTTTCTAATTCCGCTTGTTATGTGCCATGGATTTCACATATGATGTCCGTGAATTTTTAAGACACATTTTGATACCAAGAACGCGCTTATTTTCGAACAGGGGGAAACATTATTTTAGGTTTTGTGTGAAAATAAGTCCAGGACTACAAATGCTTCACGAAAGTGACATCATCGAACCAGACACGGAGAAAACTGAGGGAAAAGGGCTGTAAGTTCAGCAAACTTCCCACAGGAGGAACGAACCACCATAAATCTGGTCATGTGGTAAGTAGCAGCTACGCTAGGGGACGGAGATTATGTGTTGACGTCACATATGCGACGTGCCGATTTCTGGTGTGTAGACATGCTAATTACGAACTTTTACAAGCTGATAAATCAAAGTACGCGACTGGCGTGGTCGAAACACCCATCGTTAGTTTTAATTAAATTGCAGTACAGCGTGTTTTATTTAAACGTTTAGATTTCTTCGTTTGAATTCAACCTTTGGCTTGGAAACACCTGGTCCACTTACAAAACCCTTTACTGACAAAAACACAAATTCTCCCTGCTGCATGTTCATCGTCTGCACTCCAGTCTCCTATTGGTCAGATGCAACATATAACACGTGTGATAATGGTGAATACTTACATCAAAGAACAGGGGGTTGTAGACAGGTAGAGGCAGCTCCACATGTCCAAAGTGTCCGGGACAATTGTTGAAATCCTGGCAGCAGGTGGAACAAACCTGGGTAGAACAGAAAATCAAAGTCACTAACACCTGAGCTTTGCTAAAATAAGGAACACCGTGAGTGACTACAAAGCTAGTGGTGTACCTCCTTGGTGTCTGCTGGTCCCAGAGCCAGATCATACAGGCTGTTGAGGGCCACATTCCCAACAGAGTCCAGGAAGTTCGAGTTAGTGATCGCCTTCACACTTAACTTCCTGATATGGGAATAACACAAGGTTTCATCTGGTTAGGGCTCCTCCATGGTCACTATGCTGTGTGAGTGACTGTTAACTGCGCTAGTGTGCTCTTGTTCAGTTAAGTGTTTCCTTTAAAATCAGTTATAAACACCGAGCAGAAAAATAAATAAAGCTTTACTTAACAATCACCCCCGGCTGCTGAAAATAAACCACGTTTGAGGTTCTGGAGCCACGAGCAGCTGCGTTGTTTTGAAATTAGCTTAGCCAAAAGCTAGCTAACAAGCTATTTCTTACCTTATTTCTTCGGTTGAGAACAGGCTGAACGACATGCCCTCTAAACACCGCCATGGCACATCTTTGGCAAACAACATTTTGGGGGACAAAGCTACAACTTTTCAACGCTTTAAAGTTAAAAGTTCACGGCTCGCTGCGGAACCCCATGCGTGATGCACACGTGGGAGCAGTCCATCACAGTTTGGCCTGGAGGGGAGGACACGCTAGCAACACGACTCGGGTTTTACATCGTTTACTAAATACTTCAACTTTATAGGGACCTATTACAGATTGGTGTTTCTTTATATTCACCAACATATGATGAAGTGCACAAAACTGAACTTATATGTCTTCTACCCCGTTTATTAGCTCTAATGGTATGTCGTGGTGACGTAACGTTCGCATAGTAAAACATGGCGGCTCCCTGTTGGCATGTAGGACACCACATCCGCAGAAATGCACAGTCTCTGCGGGTAAATATTGAGCATCTTGCTGGCAACAGGTACTAGAATGTATTTTATATATTATTCGCCTGCTAATAAATGTGTTATTTAATAGAACGAGGGCTGCGCCATCTGATAGGAAATGATTTCTCATACACATACAAGCGGAACTCCGCACGCGAACGCGATTTATAACTACACAGCATTAACTTTAGCAAAGAACCAAAGAAATTAATTTAGCGAATGCTGGCCCAAGTTGCTGGGGAGAGGGAAGTGATCCGAGCCCGAATACGCTGGCAGTCTACATTTCAAAAGGGCCAGCTCCTCCTGGGAGCGTCATTTGGAATCGTAGTATGTCCAAGGAAGATCCCGCCGTTCTCGCCTCTGATTGGCTAGAAGGGCTCTGCTGCTATTGGCTATTTCATTTAGCGTTCCCACGCTGAGTGCAGCCTGTCCTCCAGGAGTTTTGTAGTGAAAATGTGAACTTAGCGCTATAATACCCATTCTGTCCTGTTTGGCTAAACATTATTTTATGTTTCTTTTGCTAAAAAAAAACGAAAATGTAAAATTACGTAAAGCTATTGTTTTCTAACTCTAAAAAAGACCTCTAAGGATGCCCTCAGTGACCACTCTTGAGGGAAACATCATGGAGGTGGTCCAAACACAAACACCTTGGTGTCCGGCTCCATGACTCCCTCTCCTTCAGCCCCATGTAGATAATCTTGTGAAGAAAGGTTGGGACATTGGTACACCTTCTTTTATAAGGCCATGCTTGGATTACTACAACCTACATCTGTAACTTAATCTCACAGAGAAGTCCTGCATGGAGCAGGGTGCAGGAAAACTGGAAATTAACCCAGTTTGACTACATTTAAAACCAGACTGAGAACCCTTGAGACGGATTCCCAACTGCCTTCTGTGATCTAGTACATCACATGTCTGTGTTACTGTAACTTCTGCTGCCTCTTGGCCAGGACTCCCTTGAAAATAAGGTTTTTAATCTCAAACTGGGAACTTTAAACTGGTTTGTTCAAAACAGGAAATTATGTTTATTATAGCGATGGGTTCACTATTCCTTCAAAAACTCCTCTAGATCTGGCTGTAAACAACAAACCTGCAGCGAGGGAAAGCGGTTTCCTCTTACACGAAATAGCCAATAGTAGGAGAGCCCTTCCAGCCAATCAGAGGCTTCCTTATTTGATTCCAAATGAGGCGTCGGGGGGAATGCTTGGGCATTCCCTGGCCAGCCAAGAGACGGCTCCACACCTGCTTAGACTCCATTAAAACCTGGATGATGGGAACTTTCTACAGCTGAGTGAAGAAAAGACTGAGATCCTCATCTGTGCCCCAGACAAGCTGGCTCCTAAAATCAGAGACTCTTGGTCAGCTTTATTCTCACGCCTTGGTGTGACCTTTGACCCAGGAAAATGCAGCCAAGAAAGAGTTTGGGGTATTTGCCATGAGGAAATAACAAACTTGCGTGGTATAAAAGCTCCTAAAAGTGGATTTTCCATGACAGGGCCCCTTTTATAGCTCTTTATAGACGGATGGAGCTAACCCTTTACAGGAGGAACATCTCCAGATATATCAGAATTCAGCTAAAATAGTGTAGAAGTTTACTTATACTTGACATAACCCAAAGAGATGCATTGTACCGGGTCATAGCAGAGATTCTCCTTTCCTGTCGCCCCTGGGCAGGTTGATGTTCCAGTCACAGCTAAAGACCACGTCCGTGTGGTTATTTACGTAGATGCAGTCAGGTCAGAAGATGTGGAGGTTGGTCAGGTCTGTACGGCCCAGTTTATTATAACATCTACATCTGCTTCCCTTTAGGGCCTTTGGCTGGACTCCAGCTGTGCATCAACAAGCTAAAGGTAAAAGAAAGGTGCTAATGTTGTGTGAACCACTTTTAGCTCCACCGCTGTAAACGTGCTGCAGCAGCATCTCCAACCACTAAAGAGCTGCGCGTGTGTCCATTCAACCATTATTCTCTCAGTTCCACCAACAGATCATGATGATTTACTAAGAAACAGCCAAAAGTGTCGTCCTGCTCTGTGTTTTTGCTGTAAGTGATACCAAAGCTGGTTAGAACAATGACTAGTAGCTTTCACAGCAGTTGGTCAGAATAAAATCCAGGAGCGTCTGACTTCGTGGAACGGTTGTCGTGTTTTTGTAATCGCTATTTTTTCTCTTCCCATTTCTATTATGATTTTAATCTCATTAATTAGTAAATGTTATTTTTAAATATATTTTTGTCCTTGTAAATATAAAATAACGTTTCTATATTATTATTCAGGGTTTGTCAGCTCCTCTCTGGAGCGACGCTGGGATTTGGGATCCCAGATAAACCGCACAAATCCCATTCCATGTTCTATTTTACATCTACCAGAACCTCCTCTGCTCCCCTGTCACACATGTGTTGCCATGGTAACCAGACAGAATGACAGCTAAGAGGCTGCACTCAGACATTTCCTAACAAAACTAACTCCATCCAGAACGACTGCTTAGATGTAAATGAGAACCCGTTGCTCTGCGGTTTATCCCTGACGGGAACCTCTCCTCTGTCCCGACCGCGTTTACAACCTCTCGTTCGGTTCTTTTGCACTTCCACAGAAAGTTTTCTTTATTCTGGGTAGAACGCAGGAATTCCCTCACGAGCTGAGGATGTAGCGTGACCAAATATGGTTAAATGAGGGCGTGTCTGTATGTAAATGACTGAGAACGACACGAGCACCTGGGTAGCACAGGTGGGATTTATCATCAGACGAGTGCGGAGGAACGTGCGTACGAGATGCCACCGCACGATTCATAGATCAGGATTTTGACCGTTCCTACGAACGTTCTAGATCTTGTTCATAGGAAAGAATTTAGGAATATTTCTACTGATGCATGATGAACGAGGGCCTGGACCATTTACCTGTGAACACTGATCCAAACCAGAGTTCCAGCGGCCGTCGGGGAGGGCAGAAACACTTTTACGTGTTATAAACGTTCTTGATCTCAGATTTGCTCATTTCAGCACGAATAATTCAGCCAGAGGAGGAAGTAGCTTCAGACAGATCTGGAGTCTTACTTCCTGATATCTGGAAATCTGTCTTCTGATTGGCTAACAGCAACACAACTCTACCGCTAACTCTTGTTGCTCTGCAACGTTGATGTGTTATCTCCACAAATAACACAAGCCTGGAGGAGTTCTGCTGTGTGGTGGAGTAGCTAATGCTAACAGTTAGCTTGTACTAGCTGAGACGTTCTCTGCTGTTTCCTGGACGCCAAACCAACAGCCCTCCCCGTCTTGAGTCCTGATGGGTGAGTCCATGAATGTTAGTGAGAGTGTGACGTAGACCTGTCAGGCTTGTCTAATCCTAGAGCTCCACCGTCTGTTTTCTATCACAAGCTACTGCAGGAGATAGGTGTAGGAGACTATTTTGTGCAATCCAATAAACTGCCTGATCACAGTGATCTGTTGATAATGGAAAATGATCTTTCTTTCTGTTGTGTTTCAGAGTCTGTTATCCTCCCCAGGAAGAAAGCATGGTATGTTTGGGTTGGAAGTGTTTCCATAACGCCGCTTCCCTCAGACTTCTGAATCTGAAGCCTGTGCCAGGTCATGTGGGTTGTGTAGTTTTCTGTAAAGGTGTCATGTAATTCAAAACCACATTTACCGTGTTGTTGTTGAAGAAAAGCACCTTGGGGGGTCAGTCAGTGGTGTAACGGACCCAGAGAACAGCTGGTAACAGCATAGCTAACATAGCAGGGCTGCCAACCACGCATGTCTTGTGTAAAAATCTCCACCAAAATGTTTCAGACTGGCCAGAGACATCAGCTTGTTTTTAATATTGTTGTGACAACAACCATACACTTGAGTGTGGCTTGAAGATAGCTGGAAACAATTATTCGTGTATAAATTTTCTTCCATTTAATATTTAATTATAATAATGCTTGTTTGTGTGATGACAAATCTGAGCTTTGTTCAGTCAATTCAGTTTATTTATACAGCGCCAAATCAGGACCAGAGTCGTCTCAAGGACGTTTTCTATATAAGTAACGCAGCAGGTTGCATCGAGTCACTGACTAGTGTCAGAGTCTTTACAGCAATCCTCATACTAAGCAAGCATTTAGCGACAGTGGAGAGGAAAACTCCCTTTTAACAGGAAGAAACCTCCAGAGGATCCTGGCTCAGTATAACCAGCCATCCACCACGACTCACTGGGGATGGAGAAGACAGAGCACACACACACACACACGCACATGTAGACACACACACGTAGACACACAGAAAGTCACACAAACACGCGCCCACACACACGCACATCAATGCACACACATGTAGACACACACACACACCATTATTCAGTAAATAAAAGTTACAGCTGTTGATCTTTGGGTGTACCAACAATTCCAGGGAAAGCTCAGTACCCCTGCACCACCACACTAGTGCTTATCCAGAGAAATACCCGTGAGATAATATGTACCTGTAGCACCCCTCTGTTAATGCCGCCATGGACTATTCCTTTAAAGGTTGGTTTATGCTTGACGCGTCCGCGAGGTCCGCACGGCTCTGTGCGGAAAAGTTGCGTCATTTTAACAACCACGCGCCTCCGCACGGCCCAAGATTTCCGCACCGCGCACCTAGGAAATTTTCTAACCACGTGGACGGTTGGACGCTGAAAAACATGGCGGACTGGCAAGAACTAGTACGGCAGAGGTTCGTAAATACAGACATTTGTATGATTCAGCTCTCAAAGAACACCGTGATCAACATGTTGTTAATAATTCTTGGAGAGAAATAGCTCGCACTGTCGGAAAAGACAAGAACGCTGTTAAAAATGCTGGAATGCCATGTTGTAAACAGTCATTTCTACTTCTACTATGGTGTAGTGTTGGATGCATGCTGTAGAGCTCCATGCTGCCCCCTACAGTTTGGGAGAATATTGGCTCACCGCAGAGACAAGCTGCATGAACCATAAACGCTGCGAGTTGTGAAGCGCGTTCCATCCGCGAGCCGCATCACCGCGCAGAAAGTGAATGTGTCGAGCATAAACCCGTGTCAGGGTTTCGTTAAAGGGGAACTCAGCAGTTTTGACTTGCTTGTAGCACCCCCTAGTGTCAGTTTTTAGAACCGAAACCTAAAATCGTCGCTGTGCATTCGTCATTTTAACACCCGCAGAAACGTCTCCCAGCCTTCCTTGCGAGTCCCAACAAGGTTTTATAAGCTTTATTGTGGCTCGGAGATCAGTTTCCTTTTGTAAAAACCTTCCTGGGACAGCTTTAAGCAAGATGTTTCATTGTGTGTTTAATCTTGTTGAACAGGAGCAAGGAGGCAGTGCTGGAGACTCTGGCCTCAACCCTCAACAGGGTGAGACTTCATTAGTTTTATTAGAGTGAGTGTTTTAGTCTGTGGTTTATTAGCTTCTTCTTGTTCTCCTTACAGGATTCCACAGCGTATCCCTACCAGTTCCAGGATGATCCATACCTGTCTCCCAGGACAGCCACTGAGTTTGTATGTTCATGAAAACAACCCCACCAACTTGTAATGTAACGTCTTTTAGAAAGTTCAGCTCTCTGTAAATCAGTGCCGTTGGTCTTCTGTCTGGCTGTTGTGGTGCCTTCACATCTGGGTCGGCCCAGTCTGGGTTTAGGGGCGTATGTTGTGTTCACATCTGGGTAGCATGAGCCTTTTGTTCAGACCACCTCTCTGGCGGTCCAGCTGGGGCTGAGGTGACCCAACACACCCGCTGCTGAATACTGAATGGCGACTGAAATTCACACCTCCCTTTAGGGGGAGGCTCCGATGGGTGGGTTGAAGGTTCCCAAAGTCAGAGACTCTCTTGGTCAGCTTGCTTCTCACACCAAAACTTCTGTCAGGAATCTTGGCGTGACCTTTGACCCAGCTCTCACCCTGGATTCTCATGTCAGTTCTCTTGTTCGCTCTTCCTTCTTCCATCTCAGGAACGTTGCTAAGCTGAGTCCCATTCTGTCTCGCTCTGAACTTGAGACAGTTATCCACACCTTCATCTCCTCACGCTTAGACTACTGTAACTCTCTTTTCACGTGTCTGAGCAGAACCTCCCTGAACCGTCTACAGGTGGTTCAGAATGCCTGTGCTCGGCTTCTGACCAAGTCCTCCAAACACACCCACATCACCCCGCTTCTCCTCCAGCTTCACTGGCTGCCAGTCAACTTCAGGGTTCATTTCAAGATCCTGGTTCTGGTCTATAGGGCCTTACATGGACAAGCACCATCATATTACCATGTTTCTGATGGACCACATTCCCCATCATCACTTCCTGTCCCTCTGCAGAAGCTGTATTCCCTCGCCCAGGACTCTGGCAGATCTGCAGCCAGATACTTTGTGAACAACCACCCCAAGTTCTTCACCAAAGACTTTGCAGAGCCACACATCCCGGTAAGTGAGATGGTGTGGATGACGGTAGCATGGGTTGGACCTGTTGACACCAGCTTACTGTGAGGCGGTGCTTGTAGTGTCTGATGCCCGAAACGGTGTCGCTGCTGCTGGAGGAGGTCAGCGAGGAGGCGCTGAAAGAACGGATCACCCTGAGGAAAGTTACAGCAGCTGTGGACATGTACGACCAGCTTCTGCAGACTGGTGAGGTCTCTCTCTCACACACACACACACACACACACACACACACACACTGCTGTATGTCATCACTGTTGGGCTGCATCTCCTTTCTCCAGGCACAGCTGTCTCCATGGAAACAACACACGAACTGCTGGACCTGATCTGCCTGTACTGTGACAGGAACCCAGTCCAGGAGGGAGAAGCTGGTGCGGAGGAGGTGAGTGGGTGGAGGATTAGCTCAGGTGCTGCCGCTGAGCCACAGCAGCATGTGTGAGGATTTACCTGTGCTGTTCAGGAGAAAGAAGGGCGCAGGATGACGAGTCGCCGAGGAGCAGACGTCCCGAGGCTCTCCTGGACAGAAAACAACAACGCAGAGAGGATCTTCTACCTGCTTCCAGAGAGAGACACCAGGTGTTACTCAGCTGTGATCCGTGGCATGGTGAAGGTACAGATGCACCTGACCCTCTGGTGGTGTCGCTGTAGCTCCTCCTGGATGAACATCTCACCTCTTTGTCTCTGCAGCATGGAGCCTACGCTAAAGCATTCAGTGTGTACTCAGACATGCTGAACAACAGGACCCCAGGTACACACACACACGCACGCACGCACGCACACACACACACACACACACACACACACACACACACACACACACACACACACACACACACACAGAGGCACCTCGGTGTTAGAGCCTCTACAGTAGCATGTTAGCTAGCTCAAACCTCTGATTTAGTCATTGTGATGCTGGATGTGTGACTCTAGAAACATCTGTCCAGTTTCCGACCCCTGACCCCTGCTGGGCTCCGTATGATTCGTTAGCCGTTTTTCCATCGCTGGAACTGCAGGATAAATTGTGGGACGGGGAAGCTGTCCCAGTCCTCTCAGCTGTTGTCTCATTCCAGTCCATGTAGTAGACGATTACAATAGAAAGTTCTGGATGAGATGAAGGCATGCAGCCTTGAAGGATAGAACAGGGTGAAGACGGGCAATATTACGTAGATGAAAGTAGGCTATTTTAGTGATCTTGCAGATGTGAGGTTGGAAGGAAAGGCTAGGGTCAAAGGTGACACCGAGGTTTCTGATATGAGGAGATGGAGTGACCATATGTTAGGGCTGGGCGATATGGCAAAAATAGAATATCACGATTTTTCCAATATTTTATCACGATTTTGATTTTATCACGATTTTTTATCCATGAATAGCATAACTTCAATTGCGTATTAAAGAAGAGAAACATTGAATAAACAAACATTTATTCATATTAGGGATAATCAGCACAGTGCTAACACACTTATATTTTAAACTCACACCAGAGATGATAAAAGCCCTGAGAGAAACAATTACAAAAATCAGTTTTTCTCGTTTTTCAAGTAACTTAACATAAATTAAAATCGTAAACATATTTAAAGTGCAAACATGTCAATTGCAAACGTATTGTGCAAACATTTACTTGTTCAAAATACTATGTAGCTCCCAGTTGCTCATGTAGTGGATAGTTAAGCTCAAATACGGCTCTGATGTGCGGCTGGACCAGAGATCGCTTGTGGTAGCAAAAAACTGCGCATTCTGAATATTTTCTGCAACAAGTCTCTAAATAAAGTAAAATTTTCCAGTGCAGATTGGAGACAACCCATAGAAGCACTGATTTTATCTCATTTCAGAGAAAAATAGAACAGGTTAGATGCACCTAATAAATAAAATTACTAACAAACTCAGGAATCTTTCTTTGCTTCACTGTTCTGGTGCTGAGAATATCACTAATGCGGATGAAAGGAGATACACAGATGAATGCACCTCTTATTATTTGGAAAGTACATTTACTGCAGCTGGCAGAGGCAGAGATTGTTTCTATTGATACACGGAGTTTACAGAATCATTTTAAATGTTAATAGGGGAAGACTGCAGGAGGGAGCGGTAAAATACAGGGGTCCCCAGCAAAAACAAGAAACTACGAGTCTGATGAAACCCGCTGGTTTTCCATCAGGCAGTCACGGAGCAGCTCCAACGACCCAGTGACCGAGCTCAGTCCGGTACCGACACCGGCTCGGCAGAGGGTGAACGAGCCGAGGCGGCGTCGTGCTCTGCTTAAGAAGCGGTGTTATTTTCCTGCTTCAGAAGAAGCGTCCAACGTGTTTTTACGCTTCCTCCGAGACATGTCACGTCGCTAAGTTGTTAGCGCCGCGCGCTAAGGAAACCCTGCGTTCCTCTTCGGAACGAAAACCTCGTTGTTGCTCAGCCTCGGCGAAGCCATGTTTGTTCACACACAAATGAAAACAAGCGGGGGCCGGGGCACTAATATATTACTATGACTCACTCTGATTGGTTAAGGGTCAAACAAAGGCGTGTCACATTCACCTGAGGTAAGTTCCCTTTTCATTCAGAGGCAGAAATTCAACAGCAGAGCTGTGAATCGTGATAAAACGGTCTCTCAAAAATGACAGACCGTCAGATGTGTAGATCGTAAAACGGTCTAAAATCGTCATATCGCCCAGCCCTACCATATGTCCATCAATACTGAGTGAGAAGTCCTTGCTGGAAGTGCTTTTGGTCCGGTAATTAGCAGTTCTGTTTTATTGCCGTTCAGTTTTAGGAAACTGGTAGACAGCCAGCACTTTATGTCACTAACAGTTTGTTACGACAGACTGTGGTTGGAGTAATGGCAGAGTTGTAGATGGGAAAGGTTTAGGCCTAGTCCACACGTAGCCGGGGTTTTTTAAAAACGAATATCCGCCCCTCCAGAAACTTGCATCCACACCACCTCGTTTTAAAAACAAACTCAGTCCACACGTACCCGGATAAATACGTTGTTAAGGACATGCCAGACCTGTAGGCGGCAGTACTTCCCCCGTTCTATTTCGTCTAGTCTTAGCCCTTAAGCGAGCTGCTATTGGAAGGATGATCTCCGCATCAGCCAATCATGAAGAGCTTAAATGTACGCCCACCAATAGTGGGCCCCCTCGTGGTATATAACCGCAGTGACCCCACTGCTCGCCTCCTTTTTCTCTTCATGCCAAGCTGAGAGCTTCTTAAAGAGCAAATTTATCCAGAAAGAGCAAGATTATCCGAGAAGACTTACCAGCCATGTCCAGCGACGCCAGACCCTGCCCGACCTGCCAGTCGGGCTCCATTTCCAGCGGAGACCTGCACGCTAAGTGTGAGGTCTGTCTCGGGGCTCACCACGCTGGCCTGGCCTTGACCCCGCAGGCCTCGTGCCCGTTCTGTGCCGCTCTGCCCGTGGCAGAGAAGATTCGCCGGGTCGAGTACTTCACTCCCGCCGCCGACGAAGAATTTCCGGTGGCTGACTCGTACCCGCTGGACAAGGCGTTGGATTTCTTCGACGCCGGTCAGGAGCCGGCTGGCTTCAACCGGCTGGATGACGTCACCGACAGCGAGAACTACGACGAGGCGGCATCCCTCCTAGACATAACGGAGGTCGATGAGCTCCGCCCAGCGGGTCCTTCTGCCCCAGTGGCTTCTCGCTCCTCCCTGCCAGCAGTAAGAGCACTGCTCCAGGAGCTGCCCGCCATCATTTCTGCGGCAGCAGCCCACAAGGGGCTAGCTGTGCCAGAACCAGCCCCGCCTGAAGCGGATGATTTGGCGGGAATCTTCGGGGCAACTCAGACACGCTGTCTAGACCCTATTTGGCCGCGCTTCCCTGCTGCTATGAGCTGCTGGTCTGCCGCCTTCTCCGAGCCTGCCAAGCTCAAGGCACCAGTCTCCACCTTTGCGCCCATCACCAAGGTCGAGGGGTTTTCCGACCAAGGCTGGCCGTCCGTTCCTCCGCTAGAGCCGGACTTGGCCTCGCTGTTTGGCGCCAAGAACCACCTCGCTGGCCCGCGAGCTGTTCCCGCTTCAAAACATGACCAGCTGCTGACGCGGCTCACCGACCGCGCACATCAGTGTGCCTTTCAGACCTGCGCTGCAGGGAATAACATCGCCCTCCTTGCCTTCGGCGTCTCGAGGATGATGGAGGAGCTGGAAGCCCCCGAGGAGTCGAAGGCCGTCATTACTAAGACTGCTGATGCTATCCTCAATTTGTGTGCTGCTGTGCTCACCGGTTCTGCTCGCATCGCTGCCTGGCAGACCCTCATCCAGCGAGCGATCTGGCTCAAGGCCCTGCCCTCCATTCCGGAGCATCTGCAAAGGGAGATGCTGGACGGCCCCATCACCACCGATGTTCTGTTTGGTCCCCATCTTAGGGGCGTCATTGAGAGGGCTCAGAAGACGGCCGAACTATCGGCTACGGTACGAGACCTGGTTCACCCTCGGTCAGCCTTGCACTCCGGCCGTTCTGCCAGAGGATGGGACGAACGGCGCGGAAGCTTCAAACGCCCAGCTGCACCGTCCGCTCCACGGAGCCGGCCTCCCGCTTCGGCTCCACATCAGCGGGACCAGCGAGATGGCGGGCAACGGTTCCGGCGGGGCCAGCAGACGCCGTCTTGGCAGTCCCAGGTGCACGAGCCTCGCCGAAAGCAGCCACGGAAGTGACTCTTTGGGGGGAATGTGTGTGTACATGATTGTAATGTTGATGTTGGTTTTGAAATAAAACCCAAAACATGTCACTCAAAGAGCACAATCCTACAGTCCTCCGCAGAATCTCCTGCCGAGTTCTCACACATGTTCCCCACACCAAGCACTGCTGCACGCACACATGTTCCTGCAGGCAGTCATAATATACGGCCAACCGTAAGGGTGCGCTCCATTGGCGCTCCGGCCCCAGCATCCGGCCGGGCCCAACTCTCACCACATCGTCGGGTGGGGCGAGATGTCAGGTCGCTGTCTCGAGCACGCACAGCGGCACAGTGCGCGGCTTCGTCCGCTGGCACTTTGTCGCCCCCGTGCACAGGCTCGGCTCCCACTCGTCCTTCACTTTCGGACTCCACGCTCCGCGGTGCGGACCAGCCTGTTCCAGCTGTTTCGCACCCGCCCTTTCGAGCGCAGCCCTCCATGGGTCGCCCCCAGTTCTCTGGTACGGGCGACGGCGGTAAGGGCGCATGCACAACCCTCAGTCGTTGCTCACGTGACCGCGCACACGCGTCCTCTGTCGGAACGCGCGCACGAGTGGCGCCGCCTTTGTATCATGAGCAAATGGATTTCGGACACCATTCATTGCGGTCACACACTTCATTTTCAGGTCACTCCACCTCCCTTCAACGGGATCGTGGAGACGACGTTCACATCGCAAGTACAGTCTCAGGCTCTAGAGCTGGAGTTGCGGGAACTTCTGTCCAAGGACGCTATTTCACGAGTCCCTCGCGGACAAGAGCTCTCGGGCTTCTACTCCCGCTACTTCATAGTACCGAAGAAGTCGGGAGGAATGAGACCGATTCTCGACCTGTCCCTGTTCAACTGCTCCATAGCAGTAATGCATTTCCGCATGTTAACGATGAGACAAGTCCTGGAATATGTGCGCCCCGGGGATTGGTTCACGTCAATCGACCTGAAAGACGCATACTTCCACATACCAGTAATTCCGAATCACCGGAAGTTTCTGCGTTTTTCGTTCAAGGGAGTTCAATATCAGTTCAATCGCCTCCCTTTCGGCTACTCGCTAGCCCCGCGCACCTTCTCCAAATGTCTGGAGACCGCGCTGCAGCCACTGCGCACGGAGGGAATGAGGGTTTTATTTTACTTGGACGATCTTCTCCTGTGCGCTCGGTCCAAGGACGAGGCGTCACAGCAAACCAGGAGGTTGACAGAGCATCTGTCGACCCTGGGGTTTTCTATAAACTGGGAAAAGAGCTCCGTTCTTCCATCCCAGTCGATTGTGTATCTCGGGGTGGAGTTGGACGCCTCCCTGATGAGAGCACGTTTGTCGCCTGCAAGAGCGGCAGATCTCTCCACGGTGATCTCCCGTGTACAACCCTGCAAGATCGTGAGAGCCCTGTTAGTCATGAAACTCCTGGGCATGATGTCCGCAGCCCTCGCTGTGGTACCGCTAGGCTTGCTGCACACGAGGCGCTTGCAACGTTGGTTCACCCGCCTCCGGGTGCACCCGATACGTCAGAAGAGACGTATGTTGAGGATTCCCCCTTCAGTGGGCGGGGACCTCGCTCACTGGGGGAACCCCTGCATCCTCTCACGCGGGGTTCCCATCGGACGTCCTGCGTCACACGTATCTGTGTTTACGGATGCGTCACTGTCGGGGTGGGGGGGCACGTGCTTGTCCCATACGGTGGCGGATCGTTGGCCCTCCCACACGCACGAGCACATAAATGTGTTGGAGCTTATGACAGTGAGGAATGTGATCAGACACTTTGCTGCCCTTCTCAAGGGCCGTCATGTCGAAGTTCACACAGACAACCAGGTGGCGGCAGCCTACATAAATCGCCAAGGGGGAGTTCGATCCCTCCCTCTGTTGCGTGTCGCCACAGATTTACTGTGTTGGACACATGTCCACCTGCTGTCCATCAGGGCCATCTACATTCCGGGGGTCCTGAATGTAGCGGCAGACATCCTGTCGAGAGGGGGACCCCGCGACTCCGACTGGCGTCTGCATCCCGCACTGATATCACAGATCTGGATCAGGTTCGGGGAACCGTCTGTGGATCTGTTTGCGGCTCGCGAAAACGCTCAGTGTCGCCTGTGGTTTTCCCTGAGTCCCCGGGACGGACCTCCGCTCGGGGCGGACGCCTTCTCACACCAGCCCTGGCCTCGAGCGCTCCTTTATGCGTTTCCACCAGTCCCTCTGATTCCCCGTCTCTTAGACCGAATTCGGTCGGAACGGCTCTCGGTGATTCTGGTGGCTCCCAGGCGCTTGTCCGCGTCATGGTTTCCGGACCTGCAAGCGCTAGTGTCCGGCTCCCCGTGGAGGCTCCCGTGGAGGGCGGACGCCCTTCTCCAGGCGGATGGGATAATCAAACATCCTCCGGAAATAGGCCAATGGCTGTGGGTCTGGCCGCTGAGCGGTCACGCTTAGAGGCTTCTGGGCTGCCGCATGATGTGGTCGCCACGATTCAGAGTGCGCGGGCGCCCTCTACCATTGCGTCTTACGCTGCTAAATGGGCAGCTTTCCAGAAATGGTGCACAGAGCGGAATGTTCAAGCGCTCTCCTGCCAGCTGGCGGATGTCCTATCGTTTCTGCAGATACTGATGGACAGGGGCCTCGCCTTCAGCACTATTAAAACATATGCTGCAACCATCTCATCCTGTCATCAAGGGTTTGGAGATAGATCTGTTTTCAATCATCCCCTCACAAAACGTTTTCTAAAAGGTGTCAGGAGGAACAGACCTGTGTCCCGCCCGCTTTTTCCCCAGTGGGATCTAACGGTGGTTCTGCACGGCTTATCCAAAGCCCCATTTGAACCCTTGGACCAGGTCTCACTCAAGTTCCTGTCACTTAAAACTGCATTGCTGCTAGCGCTAGCATCAGTTAAGAGAGTGAGTGACCTGACCGCCCTTTCAGTGGCTCCCGCATGCCTCAGGATCCGGGAAGATGGCGGGTCTGCTGTTTTATGCCCCAATCCAGCCTTTGTGCCCAAAAGCATTAATGCTTCCTTCAAGTCCAGGTCAATTTCATTGGCTGGACTTTTTCCTCCTCCCCATAATTCTGAGGAGGAGGCGGCTTCTCACCTTCTCTGCCCGGTGCGCGCGCTTGTACGGTATGTGTCACGCACTTCAGGGATTCGTCGTTCACAAAACCTGTTTGTGCACTACAGGGAGTCTTCCCTTGGTCAGGCGCTGACGGCCCAGCGTCTTTCACACTGGCTGTGTGACGCCATTTCCCTCGCTTACACGTCATCGGGGCAGGTTTCCCCTGAGGCACTCAGGGCTCACTCAGCCAGGGGGATTTCCTCTTCGATGGCGCTCCACAGTGGTGTGTCGATGGAAGACATTTGTCAGGCTGCTTCATGGGCTTCACCCTGTTCCTTTACTCGTTATTATTTACGGGATGTGTCTTCAGGTTCCATCACTCGTTCAGTGCTTGGACCCCAGCAGGCTGAATGAATGCTTATGACGCCTCATTGGCCTTGCTGAGATGGATTTCATCCTCTCATGGATGATGTTTTTTTAGTGGGGGCCCCTCTTTTATCGTGGCTGCCTCAGTCTTTAAGCCTGGTCTGAGGCTGAACCTCCCTCACTAAAGGAGATTGATTGGGTGTGTCCATTGGTTGTGTTAACCAGTGTGGCGTAAACCCATCCAGCTGCGCTTTATTCCAATAGCAGCTCGCTTAAGGGCTAAGACTAGACGAAATAGAACGTTGGTTACGTATTGTAACCCCAGATTCTATGAGTCTAGTCGCAGCCCTTAAGCCACTTGGCCCCACTGGTTATGATGGAATAAGAGCCATTGGAGGCGAGCAGTGGGGTCACTGCGGTTATATACCACGAGGGGGCCCACTATTGGTGGGCGTACATTTAAGCTCTTCATGATTGGCTGATGCGGAGATCATCCTTCCAATAGCAGCTCGCTTAAGGGCTGCGACTAGACTCATAGAATCTGGGGTTACAATACGTAACCAACGTTCTTAACCTCGTCCTTCGTCTGTGGTCTTCCGCAAGGAGCAGTAATTCCGCTTGCAAAAATAAACAAGCAGAAAGCGCTTGGACAATTGATGGATCGGGTAGTGACAGAGCGCAGCTCTGAGGGCATCCATGATGCCGGCTAGTGTAAACACAGGTCGCACACGTGATGTCAGCATTTTTTTTGTCGTGGAAAGTGACGTTGTGGACCTTAAAACTCCGGTTTTGTCCGTCCACACGCAGACACCCAAAACGGAGAAAACGCAGATCTTCACTTTGGCCGGAGTTTTTATAAAGATCCATTTTCGTGTGAAAAAACTCCTTTTTCGTGTGGATGACAGGCAAAACGTAGAAAAATATCTACGTTTTGGCAGATCCCCGGCTACGTGTGGACAGGGCCTTAATGTCATCAGCAAAACGGTGAAACCCAAGTCCATGGTGACCAGTGATGTGCCCAGTGGGTAACATGTAGATGATGAAAAGAAGAGGACCAAGAACTGGACCCCGGGGGACACCACGTGTAATTGGGTGATCTTGGAGCTGCAGTTGTTTATGGAGATGCACTGAGATCTGTTGGTGAGCTCATGTGAGCCAGGAGAGGGCTGAACCAGTAATACCAGTGTGCCACTGCCAACGATGTAGGAGGACGGAGTGATCGACTGTATCAAATTCAGCGCCTAGGTTGAGGAGGAGGAGCATTGGAGGAGATCCAGAGTCTGAAGCCAGCAGGAGATCATTGGTCACTTTGATCAGGGCTGTTTCTGTGCTTTGGTGAGAACGGAAACCGGACCAAAAGGTCTCAAAGAGCTCTTTGGAGAGGAGATGATGGGTTAGCTGAGACACTACTGAATGCTCAAGGATTTAGGCAATGAACGGGAGGTTACTAATGGGGCGAAAGTTTTCAGGGTCATCGTGATTCAGATCGAGTTTTCTGGGCGTTGGTTTAATGGCAGCTGGTTTGAATGCTGAAGGGACAGTTCCAGAGGTCAGCAATGAGCTGATAATTTCCAGGATAAGTGGATCGAGGCGTGGATGACATGATTTTACTAATGGTGATGGGATTGGGTCCAAGGGGCAGGTGGTGAGACTGATTTTCTAAAAGTGCTTATTAAGTCCCAGGTCTGTCATCAGGGATAGGGTAGCAAACTCATTTTGGACGGACATAGGGAGGATGGGTGGGAGGTCAGTGAGCCATGGAGCAGTGGGAATGAGGTCCTGGTGAATTCTATCAGTTTTCAATTAGAAGAATTCCATGAGTTCCTTACATTTTTCTTCGGTGAGTGCTTGTAAGTTATTGCTCTGGGGTTTTAGAAGTGTATTAATGGTGGGGAAAAGCCTGCGGGGATTCGAAGAGCCATTGAGGATTGAGCTAGAGTAGAAAGATGTGTGAGCAGAGGTAAGTGCAGTTCTGTACAACTGGCGAGTTAACCAAAAGTTCTCGGCAACTCCAACGGGCCTTTCTGAGTACCTACTTCTGACCAGGTACTCAGAAAGTTCCCGGAAACGGCCGTTCGGCCCGTTCAAGTGGAGGCACGCATGTTGGGAAGTTCCCGTAAATGTACTCTGCAGCTCCGACAGTGGAAACGCACCCGTTAGCTGTGTAAATACAGGTCCAGCAGGGCCTTTATTGTTCCTCACCAGAGGAGTCGATCCTTTATTATTATTATTGTTCCCCGGATGTTAATGCGGCTCGGCTGTGGGAGGTGTGCTATTACTTTTATAAGCGATCTGATTTACCGTGGGGCAATTATTAGCAACAAAACCTGAAAAATGAGCTGGCCCAAGTGGCTGGGGAGAGGTTAAGTCTGGGCCTCGCTGCTGCTGTCGCCCCGGCGACCTGAGCCCAGATTAGCAGCTGAAAATGGATGGGTGGATTCTCCTGCTGTCATCCCAAGTAAACCTTTCCTTCTGTCTACAGGTGATGTCCATATCTTCAACGCACTGATCTCTGCAGCTCCAGAAGTCAGAGACGGATACAGCGAGAGATGGGATCTCATCAGTGTAAGTTAGTTGTTTTACTCTTGGCCCATAAGTGGTCATTATAGTAAACAAGCCATAAGTAACTTGTGTTTTCATTTATTAGATTAAGATAAACACGGTCTCATTCTGGAAAATTAACCTCACTTTGTAAATGTTCTGGATCAGCTTAGGTTGAATTAATTCTGCAGTGACAACAGCTGGTTGATCATCTCCACACCATTTATCCTCTGTAGGAGCTGCTGAACCACATGAAACAACAGGAGATCCATCCTAACCTGCTGACCTTCAACAGCGTTCTTAAATCTCTAAGACAATGTGGGAGTCTGGCTAGAAGCTACTCCCCACAGACGCTGAACGAGATGAAGGCTCTTGGGATCGGTAACGATGAGCCTGCTTGCCGTACTGTACCACCTCCAGGGCTCATGGGTGTTGGCGTTGAGCTTAACTTCCTGTTGTTTTGTCTTTGCACTCAGCTCCCAGTTTGGCCAGCTACGACCACATCCTGGCCGTCTTTTATAAATCAGGTACTGCGCCTGGATGTAAAACGTTAGTCACAGCTCCATCAGTGCCCATTCAGTCCATCTCCGTTTGATTCAGCGTAATTTTATTGTTCCGGTGGTCGTGTCACACTGGGGGAGGGGGGGGTGGGGGGTGGGGGTCGGTACTCAAAACAGTCACAGTGGCGAGCATCCTGGTGATGATGAACTTTCAGCTAAGTCGCTGGTTTTTGTTAAGACACTGAATCCAGAAATGGCTGCTGGCAGCAGACATAGCAACCTGAGACCCCACCCCCTAGCCAGCCAGTGACTCCGCCCCCAAACCAAAGTGTGACTCCGCCCCCAAACTAACATGTGACTCCACCCCCAAACCAACGTGTGACTCCGCCCCCAAACCAACCAGTAACCACACTCCTAGCCAGTAAATAGACCCTTTTACTACCTACGTCATCAAAAGTTGCGCGCGCAGCCTGGCAACGAGAATGAAGGCTTCCTCATTCACACTCGATACTAAAACAGCGTTTTAAACCCTTTGTTTTGAAGTTCTGAGCACATAAAAATGTCGGGTTGTTGCGTGTATGGATGCCAGAATCGCTTCTCTTCAAGCAGTGGACTGAAACTTTACAGAATTCGGAAGGGAGCACATCCATTTCTACAAAATCGGAGGCGTCTGTGGCTGCAGGCCATCAAAAGGGTTGATGAAAACCGGACTGAAAACACGATCCGAAATGCTCGAGTTTGTAGCGCCCATTTTATATCAGGTAAGGTAATTATGTACTAAGATTACATATAAATTTATACGCTTTATTTCATGCTTCAAATTAACATTTCATTCTAATTCATCTGTACTGCATATTAGTATAAACTGTATTTCTCTAAAATTAACACGATTGTACTCTGAGCACGCTAAAAAAAGATACCAAGGCTATACTCACCCTGCCATGCAGGTACAGTTGGCTGTGAAGACGTAGTTCTCTGGTTTGTTTACTATGACCCAAGCCTCGTACATAGCAGTCTTGTGTCCTTGTCTTTGGCTAGGAAGGACTTCTGCCTTCAAGACGCAAAACTCAGAGTCTATGTCGTGATATTTTACTTTCTGTACGTGGCCACAGACAACATAGTTGTATGCATCTAACGATTTGTATGCCCGTACTTCTCACGTGTGTACTTACTGGGCCTCTCCACTAAAAACGTATATATAATCGGGCCACGCACCTACATCTTCCACCCATTCCGTAATGCCACAGGGATCCGGGAGTCTGTTGCCATTCGTTAAAGTGAGTTTAACAATATAACATTCAAGATTTGCCAGTGATAACCCCGCAGCGTAGCTTGATAAAGCCTGACACAACACCATTCTCTGTTGCCAAGCTGCGCGCGCACTCTCGCTGACGTCATATTGTTTACAAACAGTAAAAGGGTCTATGGCCATCACCTGCTGACCGTGTGCATTTGGCCTGACTCGGTAAGTGGGACCAGTGACGTGGTGAGGCTCCTGACCGGGGTGGGGGGGTGGGGGGGTGCTGCTCTGGAGTCACACAAACATATGGTCCTCAAACAGAAGCTCGTATTTCATGTTTGACCTTAATTAAATATTTTGTTTTTTTAAACTTCTTAGTTAGGATTTAATTTATTCCATAATGTTCAAAAATACACGAAGAAGAAAAATAGTATTTAAAATCAGCGCAAATGTGACTAAAAATGTATGTTTTGTTCTTGGCAGAGCTCTGTTATTACACATGAAAATGGTGTATGGTGTGTTTCTGAAGTCCAGACAGCTTCTCCACGATCACTCGGCGGTACAAGTCGTCCTCTAGCCTCTCTGCTTCTAACCCTAACCCTCCTCTCGCTTCTGCGTGGATATTCGATCAGGAAACGGGTGAATTCAGCGATTTTAACCATAAAACTAAACCAGATCATTATTAGTATTTTACATGTCACAGTGACAAGGGAGGCAGTGCCTCTGACCACGTGTCACTGACACCGACCTGTTGCTGATGCACCGGCCGTCCAACGCGTCGAGTCATGCTGCGTGGGTACTGACGGAGTCGTGGCTGTTGGACCTGACTGGAGCGTGTTTGTGACCTGGCTGATTTTGTCTCCAGTGTCCTCTGGACCAAGCAACTCTGATGTTTTACAAAATTTGATGACCGAGCTGGAGGGACAGAGCTTCACCTGTGTGGACCCCGATGATGGTGAGTCGGTGTGTGTTTGGATGTCCGAGTGTAAAAGACATGATGGCAGCACACTGAGCCTCTGCTCTCTTTCTTCACCACAGTTCTCTTCTTCTCCAGTGCCATGAAAGTAGTAAGTGTCATTACTTTGTTTCAGCACCACAACCCTCTTCAGCTCTAGTGTTTCCTGTGTCAGGACTTTCCAGAGGCTTCTGGAGCACAGAGGAGACCACCATAAAGGTGTTTCCTCAGGGTGCACAGCACTGTGTTTGGATGCTAGCAGCTGTTAGCGCGGATCCATGCTCATCCAAGTCGGGCTATGGTGTTAGGGTTAGGGTTAACCAGACAGTAGGTGGCAACATGAGCCCTTCCTTGTTAGCAGTCTTCTCGTTAGCCAGTGGAGGCTCCTCTTCAACAAGCTTCTGACTTTTACTTCCAGCCCTCACCATGATGCCTCTGAGCTGTCGTTCAGTCTGGTTGCCTTGGCAACGCGGCGTGTATGATCAGGGAGCGGAGGAGGTTCTGGAGGATCCTCGTAGCTGTAACTTAAAATATGAACTGGAATCAGATTTGTGCTGTTTATCTGTCGGGTCCCAAATCCCAGCACAGCTCCAGACGGATGTTTTTCAGGAATCGGATCGGTGCGCTCACGGAGGAGCCGTTCCTCTCCGCCACCTCCTCCCAATACCACCGGATCAGTCCTGTTACAAAGTTTGTCGGCCACAGGTCTTTTCTAGCTCTTACTGCCAGTTATGTGATGGTACATGACCTGTATCCGCGTAGCTCCTCAGGGTTCTTCAACCTGCCAAGGCGCTTCACTTACACAACCAGTCATTCACACTGGCGGGGAGGAGCTACGATGTAGCCACCTGCTCTGGGGCGCTCTGACAGAGGCGATCTTCCTTTATTGGGTAAAATCATGTGTGGACGAGTACTGCGGTGCCCCCGTTCTACCACTAGTTCCACTGTGTGAGGTCTTATATTCAGGAACATTATCACTCGTGTTCACGAGTCCTTACAGTTGATGTATGTAAGTACTGCTGATGGATGAAGGTCCTGGAGCATTTGATGCTCGTGGATCAGCAGAGTTGGCGTGGTGAATAAAACCAGACTCGTTTTAATGAGGAGGAGCCTGCTGGTGCTTTGGACTTGGTGTGAATCATATCAGAAAAACCAGCTTTATTATGTCATGATGTATAAAACCCGAGAACTGAAAGAGGGTGGACGTTCTGTGTTCCTTGGCTGACCATAGACGGTGTCTTCTGACTCTCTCAGTGTTTGGACAACAAGGATCTGGAGCTGGGTTACCGAGTGCAGAGTCTTGTTGAAGTAGGAGAGAACTGGAGGCTGCTGGGAGATTCCGTCCAGCTCAGTATTTACTAGTGAGTACCAGAGTCCTGCAGAGGTGCAGACCCCATCTTTCCCTTAGTGACTGGATGCTTTCTGTCCTTCTGCAGCGGTCGATTCTTCAACCTCCTGTGCATGATGGAGGACGTTGATGTAGTGCTGAGGTGGTACAAGCAGATGGTCCCATCGGTCAGTAACACCGCCAACCAGGAAGCACCACACATGACATGTGACCTAGAGCAGGAACAGGAATCATGATCTGAGCTTATTTTAGTCCTTTAAAAGTAAAACATCACACATCAGGGTGAGTGGAGCTCACGACGCGTTCCTGGTGTCCTCCGAATTTCTGAGCAGGAAGTGATGTAACAACAGGCTCGTTTTTGCATTCCAGCTTCTACCTCGGACAAAATGGACGCCACTAGTGTTGAGTACTAAATCAAAATAAGTAACCAAGTGTTCTCTGCACCTAAGTAGTAGTGACACACACACACACCCTTGGACCGTTGCAACATACAAGCAGAAAACATTACAAATCAAATGTAAACATACAAACGCAGGAAAAGTGGAAGCCATAAACACCGGTCACTTCTGGCAGCAAAGTTAGGTGTGTCAACAACATAACCGTTGATGACAACAATATCAACTTACTGGTGCTATTAAGTAGCAAAAAGGAAGAAAACAGAACATGTAATGAGAAAATTAAAGACCATAATCACTTCCTGGTAGCACAGGGAGCAGCCATCTTTAAATTGTGAAACCTACGAGCTCGCAGCTCAAAATTCGGAGTTCATTGCTTCATTTCCGGCTAACTTATCTTGGAAAAACGAGTTCAGAGGACAACTGGAACGCACCGTTACTCTGCAGTCTAACCTGCCGAGTCGTGCTTTTATTTTGACGGGACATAAAAGCAGTGTGGTTGCTGACTGGCTGAATCAGGATGGACCTAACCTATAGTAAGTTGTGTTTCTGTTTCTGATTGGTCCATGTCTAGCTGTACTACCCCAATGCTCAGGGCATGAAGCACCTGCTCCAAGCTCTAGACACGGACGGACGTCTGGACCTGCTGCCGGACATCTGGACAGGTCCGAGCTTCGTGTCTGACACAGTTCCACTCCCAGTGTTCCGTCAGCCTCCTGAACCGTGTGTGTGTGTGTGTGTGTGTGTCTTTCTACAGACATGAAGACTCTAGGTCTTTATAACAGGGCTGATCTGTTGGAGCAGCTGCTTGGTCTGATGGCTGGAGAGGAACACAGTCCTGAGGTCTGAGTCGTTGCTACCAGGTTCTCTGTGTCTTTCACCATGGTGCTGTTCTACAATGTGTGTGTGTGTGTGTGTGTGTGTGTGTGTGTTTGTAGCTCCAGGAGGCATTTGCTGTGTGTGCTCTGGATGTGAAGAGTGTGTTTGAAGAGAAGGCAGGTCTGGAGTGGAGCGCCTCATCCCTGTCACATGTCACCACGCTGCTGCTGAGAGCCAGCAAGGCTCAACAGGCCTGGTGAGACAGAGACACGATTGTCTCACAAATGCTCTCCAGATCCAGAAAAGTGTCTCATGTCTCCTCCTGTCTTTTTATGCGCAGGGACATGCTGAAGCTCTTCAAAGCCCATAACAGAATTCCTTCGTAAGTTTTCGCTAAAACAGAGTCCATCTGTTCCCAATCAATCACTCTAGATACCTGATTCTACTGAGGAAAGTCTGTTCTGGGAAGGACCCAGTTCACAAGGCAGGATGTTTAAGTTGTCAGATGATTTTCCAAACACGGGGATATGTGTATATACACACGCATATATATACATGTACACACACATATATATATATATATATATATATATATGTACACACATACAGTGGGGCAAAAAAAGTATTTAGTCAGCCACCGATTGTGCACGTTCTCCCACTTAAAATGATGACAGAGGTCAGTAATTTTCATCATAGGTACACTTCAACTGTGAGAGACAGAATGTGAAAAAAAATCCATGAATTCACATGGCAGGATTTTTAAAGAATTTATTTGTAAATCAGGGTAGATAATAAGTATTTGGTCAATAACAAAAATTCAACTCAATACTTTGTAACATAACCTTTGTTGGCAATAACAGAGGTCAAACGATTACTATAGGTCTTTACCAGGTTTGCACACACAGTAGCTGGTATTTTGGCCCATTCCTCCATGCAGATCTTGTCGAGAGCAGTGATGTTTTGGGGCTGTCGCCGAGCAACACGGACTTCCAACTCCCTCCACAGATTTTCTATGGGGTTGAGGTCTGGAGACTGGCTAGGCCACTCCAGGACTTTCAAATGCTTCTTACGGAGCCACTCCTTTGTTGCCCGGGCGGTGTGTTTGGATCATTGTCGTGTTGGAAGACCCAGCCACGTTTCATCTTTAAAGCTCTCACTGATGGAAGGAGGTTTTGGCTCAGAATCTCACGATACATGGCCCCATTCATTCTGTCCTTAACACGGATCAGTCGTCCTGTCCCCTTAGCAGAAAAACAGCCCCAAAGCATGATGTTCCCACCCCCATGCTTCACAGTAGGTATGGTGTTCTTGGGATGCAACTCAGTATTCTTCTTCCTCCAAACACGACGAGTTGAGTTTATACCAAAAAGTTCTACTTTGGTTTCATCTGACCACATGACATTCTCCCAATCCTCTGCTGTATCATCCATGTGCTCTCTGGCAAACTTCAGACGGGCCTGGACATGCACTGGCTTCAGCAGCGGAACACGTCTGGCACTGCAGGATTTGATTCCCTGCCGTTGTAGTGTGTTACTGATGGTGACCTTTGTTACTGTGGTCCCAGCTCTCTGCAGGTCATTCACCAGGTCCCCCCGTGTGGTTCTGGGATTCTTGCTCACCGTTCTCATGATCATTTTGACCCCACGGGATGAGATCTTGCGTGGAGCCCCAGATCGAGGGAGATTATCAGTGGTCTTGTATGTCTTCCATTTTATGATAATTGCTCCCACAGTTGATTTTTTCACACCAAGCTGCTTGCCTATTTTAGATTCACTCTTCCCAGTCTGGTGCAGGTCTACAATTCTTTTCCTGGTGTCCTTCGAAAGCTCTTTGGTCTTGGCCATAGTGGAGTTTGGAGTCTGACTGAGGCTGTGGACAGGTGTCTTTTATACAGATAATGAGTTCAAACAGGTGCCATTAATACAGGTAACGAGTGGAGGACAGAAAAGCTTCTTAAAGAAGGCGTTACAGGTCTGTGAGAGCCAGAGATTTTCCTTGTTTGAAGTGACCAAATACTTATTTTCCACCCTGATTTACAAATAAATTCTTTAAAAATCCTGCCATGTGAATTCATGGATTTTTTTTCACATTCTGTCTCTCACAGTTGAAGTGTACCTATGATGTAAATTACTGACCTCTGTCATCATTTTAAGTGGGAGAACTTGCACAATCGGTGGCTGACTAAATACTGTATATATATATATATATATATGTAAATATATATGTATATATATATATGTAAATATATATATGTATGTGTGTGTATATATGTATATATGTTTATATATATACATATATATATACATATACATATCTCTCTCTCTCTCCTCTCTCTCTCTCCACCAGTGAGGCTCTGCTGAACAGCTTCCTGTCAGTGTGCCAGAGGGACGGAGCCTCTGAGAGGGCGGTGGAGCTGGTCCAGCTGTCTGCAGCCTTCTGTCTGACGTCAACATCTGGATTAGCCAGCCGAGCTCTGGCTGAGTTTGATCTGAACCAGGAACAGAGGTGATTGTTCCCATCGTCTACCGCCTGTACTGATGTGGTTGTCATGGAGATGGTGTTGTTGTAGGTTTAGAGATGATAAACTAGGGGTTTCCTACTCCAGCCCTCAGGGGCCCCAGTCCAGTATGTTTGTTTCTCTGCTCCAACACACATGATTGTAATCACCAGGTGTGTTGGAGCAGAGAAACAACCACAACTTGGTGGGCGGGGCCTTGATGTGGATGTTGTCATCTGTCTTCCAGGTTGGTGTTGGCTGGGCTGGAGGCTGCAGCAGGACCTCCCTCTGACTGAATCAGACCACTGAACTAAACCTGTCTAATAAAAGCCTCTGACATCCACGAGAGGTTGCCGTTTCCTGTCACATGATCCTGGGAGGAGATTCTAAACAGTTTAGATTAAAGTGCTTTGGGCTGGTGGGTGGGCGCTCAGTGATAATCCACCAGCTTCCCGTAACTTCCTCCTTGCTGCCGTGTTTAGGTCATCAAGAAGAACCAGGAATGCCAGCGACCTTCAGCTGGAGCCACCTGCACACCAGGCTTCAGTGTATTCATGTCAGAATCAGACGTGTGTGTGTGCGCGTGTGTGTGTGTTCTCTGTAGCAGCACACATGAACCTAAAGTTTCATAGTCATGATGTCATGGGGGGGCGAGCCAGCTCAGGTGAGTCCCCAATAGAATCCTTTCTTACCTTCAACCAATCAGACGCTGAGCTGCCAGTGCAACCAAATAAGGACAGAGGAGCGTTGGAGGAAAGGCTGAGGTGGGTGTGTTCAGCAGAGCTCCACGCTGTCCCCGTTGTCCTTGTCTGATGAGACGCTCCTGGTGGACTGGACGTGGACTCGAGGCTAAAGGACTGACTAGAACTGGAAACACCTTCCACTGATGAGTCCGCTGAGTGGAACTCTGGTTCTGGTTTGTGACCCAGTTTGGTCCAATCAGCTCTTAGATAGACTTGCGTCAGACTAAAAGACTTTGGTCTACAGACGAGTTCCTGGTGGACTCGAACCATCAGCCCTCCACCACTGCAGCTTCCAGCTGTTTGGTTCTTTGTAAACATGCAGCTGTGCATTCTGGGTAAACAGCTCTACTATGGTCACATCTGTCCATGGGTTTTGTGTTTATTCAAATGAAACATTGCAGTAAGTCCTGAGTTTTTCCTCCTGGACCTTTCCAGACCGTTTCTCTGATCATCTAGAGGAGTTTAGAGCTGTGGCCTAAATGAGACTAGGGTTTCATGGTCTGATCTTCAGAGGAGTCATCTGGCACATCACTTGTCCTAAATAGTTTCCACTTGTGAATACTGTCTCCCTGCAGCGTGATGGACGTCCACCTGGTAGGAGGTGACCTTTGACCCATGTCAACATCAGTTGTTGGGTTGTGACACAGAGCCCTGTTGTGAGTTGGGATGTTTCAGGTTCGACTTGGAGAAGAAAAGCCTTTACACAGCAAAAGCATCCCTGCCCACATCTAAAGTTAGAGATGTAATATTTTATTAGAAGTTAGAAATTTAACAAACTATTGAATGATTATCACTAATAACCAATCAAAGACATGTTCCTCCTAACAGATGCGTATCTTTTTAATGGAGTCTAAGCAGGTGTGGACTGTTCCATTCACAATTCCATCATGAATGGGAATTGTAGTTGACTAAGACTAAAATGCATTTTTGTCATCAAGACTAAAACTAAGATGCCCGCCACAAACAACACGTGTGTGTGTTCTTGTACTTACTACATACGGAGGACCATTTTGGCTGCAAAGTGAAGGCATTTTTCTGGTCTTCACTCTTTTTAAAAGCTTACCAGTTGGTTTCAGAGCGATTGTAGTTGAGAGTAGGGTTAGGGCAAGAGAAACCTCCTCAGGTCTTGATTCTACAAAGGTGAGATGTGGTGTGAGTGAATGTTGAGGAAAGACTACAAAATCACTGAAGTCAGAGCAGAGCGACGCGACGAGAGCGGACTCAAGGAATGCAGAGTTTTAGTGACAGGATGTGGCACACCTCCCGTTTCAGAAAATCATGGTGTGAATCAGGGCACCAGTCATATTTATCATAAAGGGAGCCCAGCGTGTTATCTCTGGAAGCTGTAAACTGCTGTGAGAGGATGCAGATCCAACATGTGAAGGAGCAGGGGAGTGGCCTGGGGTAGCACATGCCACCCTTGGAATCTGATTGGCCACCCCAGGTGCCACCACACTAATTTACCTTTAAATAGGCTTTTCATTGTCCACAAAAGGCTTGGGGGTAAAACACAAAAAAAGCATAACCATTGGTGCCACCCATGCACAAAGTTGTGCCTCACCTTGGCCACCCCATTTTAAAAGATCTGGACACGCCACTGTGAAGGTAGACAAATGAAGTCTAGAGAGCATCACCGTTTTAGTGTCACCGTGTCAGGTATAAAGCATGTCTGGCTTTCACGCCTGATTGCTTTAAGTAAAATAAAACCTGTGGTTGAACCCAGCAGGATACCCTATCAGCCATACTGAAACGCTTTGGATTTCACTCACTTATAACAGATGAAGGAAAGGATCTAATAATCCTGACTTTCACAACAGCTCTCTGAATGTCTTTGCGCCTTCTCTGAGAAACGGCAGCAGTTTAGAGCAGACTCCCACCTCCCTACGAGCCTAGGTCTTCCAGGTTCAGGAATTCACTCTGACAAGATCCAGCACATCCGCTGAGAGGAGAGGGTTGAGAAAGAACGAAAGAGTCTGAACAGGAGGAGGAATTCCTGCGTGTACGGACCGGCAGAGCTGCAGGATACCTTTACTTTGATCCCTCTTTCACTGTGAAGAACTTTTGGCACCATAAATAAAAAAAGGACCATTTGACATGTAGGGATTGCTGGTTTCTATCATTAAACGGTGTCCGTGAACACGGATCTGGTGTTACGCATTATTAGACCTGAATCCACAGACGCACCGCTGGAGGCTGGAGGTGATCCAGCGCTGCCGCCAGTCTCTCAGTGTTGATGTGGCAAATGTTGGGAAAAACACTAATGCAGGGTGATGGTAGGAAAGACGATGAAATACTGAACACCCGGTAGACTTGGCAGGTATGACCCTGTCAGCTATACACTCTGGAGGATGACCCGTTCCCATGTGTTTCAGGGTTTACAAACATCTTTTCTGATTCAGAAGGTCAAGCTAAACCTAACCCTGCATCACCATGGTAACCAGCCTGGAGTTACTGGGTAACAACACACACCAAGCTGTGTAAAGCAGTTCTTTTTCAAGAGTTTTACCTCTCCAGCCCCAGTGTGTGTGTGTGTGTAAATGGATTCCTTAACATTTAATACCTCATGTCTGATAAAATGAGTTTCTGTAGTTGGGTGAACACCTCCCCAAGTAGAAATAAATGAGACCCATCCAAGATGGCAGCCGTGCACTACTATGTCTGTGGTGACTCCACCCTTCTCCACTGCTGCTCACACAGCGGGGGAGGGGGCTGGAGGGGCAGTGACACCACCGATCAGTGTCAGCGGAGGAAAACGGACTGAGAGGCAGAAGGAGGTTCACTTACCCCGGTGGTTCCAGCAGACTGCTCCAGTGGACGTGTTCAGGTGAGCTGGAGGGTAGAAGGGTGTTTCCTCTGGGCAGCTGTTCATTTTTTATTGATTCTTTTAAAAGAGCATTTCCAGTAAGGTGATTTTTGATGTAAACTGAACCTTTTTTCTTACATGTTGAGAGTGAATCCATCATTAAGGCTTTTTCTTCATGACCCTGTCTGATCAGCTCGTCCCAGAGATCATCTGTCTGACGAGTCCTGCCAGTTGTCCTCTCTGGGTCTGGACAAATATTGGGTACAGGGCAGGAATTACACATAGGCTTCAGGGGCGGGTGGTCTATTTTGCCCAGACCCCCAAAATGCCTGGAAACGGCCCTGGGTGGGACTGACTTTTGAAGCTGATCTGTATTGTACCGAATATATAAATACTACATGCTGATAAGTTATTGCTTTATACAGGTAGGAGGTGTAGTGGGATACATCTGCCTTGCTCGGTTTGGTTTCCCTGTCATGTCTGTCTCTGATCTTCCTGCATCTCCTCTCAGTCCTCCAGAAATCTGCTGCCTTTTTTCACCTCATGGGTGACTTTAAACTGAGCAGATCAAAGACATCTACCAACCCTAAAACCAGCGGAGTGTGTGCTGTGCACAGTCATGTTTGTTACTAAGTCACCGGAGCAGTAGAGCCCTAACCCACACGAATAAAAGTCAGAAAGTACCAGAGAATGTGAGCAGACAAACATCGTGTGTTAATTATATTTTTTGGGTGGCGCCACTTTGAGAAAGTTTCTGTAGCTGTGTGCAGGATGCAGCCGCCTGCAGCACTTCAGTAATCAGTGCTCTCCATCCTCTCTGCTCAAAACAGTCCCTGCTATGCTGAGTCCATATAAACAATGTAATATAGGTGGAAACCCCCTGGGTGTGTAAGCTGGGGGCTTCTAGGGGAGCTCACCACCCTTTCAGGGGAGCCAGGCTCCCATTAGCTCCCCCATAATTTCAACCCTGGTTGGGTAAATGATTTTGACTGTGGATGTGTTTCTGTTCTGTTCACAGACCTGGTTTATTATTGAAATCACCTGAGGATCGGCTAACTGTGAGTATAAGAGGAGCAACTCCTTTAGTACTGCTGTCTCTGCATGTGTCTGTGTCCTGCTGCACCAGCTAAATGATGCAACCACCTTATTTGCATGCTGGCCCCTTTGCTTGTTGCTCTGCTGGCACATGCAAAAGAGATGCGATGGAACCAGGCCTGGAATTAAAAGTGTAAATGAAACTTATATTGGTCCAGGACATTCAAAACCAGCCTCTAATGAGAGGCTCTCCTCTGCTTTGCTGCTGCTGTAGCTCCTGCAAAGGGCTATACAGCATGACTCCGCCCATTACAGCGTGACTCCGCCCATCTCCACCACAGGGTGTGCCTCTCTTTAGACCTGCATTAGTTTTGAATATGAAAATGGTTGTTTCAGAGGCTGACACCAGCTCACTATTACACATTATAAGTAGTTGACTCACGATTTTACTGTCAAATGTTTAAAGCTACTTAAGGAAAGGTGCTGTGGGAAAATTCCCCATCAGAAAAACCTGTTTATGTAGAGGGACAGTGTTCCTTTTCTGCCATCAGAGCCATCCATAGTTAAGGGTCTCGAGGTTGTGGGTTAAATAGCTGCTGCCTTGCTCCAGGCTGACTTAACACAGCAGTTCTGTCTGAGAGCTGCAGGACAGCTCCAGGTGGATCTGTAAATAATCAATACTAGGGATGTAAGAAAATATCGATATGCTAATATATCGTGATATTTTTCCAGCAATATTATATCGATATTAAAAAGCAGTGTATCGGACATATCGATATGGCAATATATCGTGATATTTTTCGTGCGATTAATACATCGATATTCAAAAGCTGTGTATCTAATTCTTGAAAGAATTTACATGCAAACATTTGTGTATTTTCTTTTCGTTTTGTGCAATTCAATCGCCACCCGCTAGTTGGCAGCAGTGTGCAATGGGTTTTGTTTCCACCATTGAAATGTAAAACCCTCCATCATGGTTCAGATACCTCATGTTGACATGTTACGTATCAGTTTGGACTGTTTATTGAACATTCTTATAATAAATTCAGTAAAAAAAATTGCTTGTGACGTCTGACCGAATGTATCACAATATATCGTGATACATCGTATCGTCTCCGCTGTATCGTGATATGTATCGTATCGCCAGAATTTCAAAAATGCACATCCCTGATCAATACCATCTGATAAATGAAGCTACTAGAACAGGACATGTCGGGCTGATGCGTATGTTTATGGTTTATGATGAGCAGCCATAACATGACTGTGGGACAACGCCATCTCAAGAGAACCTCTTCAGATGAAGCTACACCTTTGTGAAGAAGTCAACCAGCTAGCTAGTTTCACGAGTGACATACGTGGATCCTGTTTGCTGACAGTGAAGGTTTGTGCCCATGTCTCAGGTTCAGGATGTCTGGGAAGGTCGGTGCCGAGGAGCTGGAGGAGATCAGGGAGGGCTTCAAGAAAGTCGGTGAGTTTGTGGTTTGTGTGTTAGGGACAATAAACAATATTGAACTATTTAGTCATAAAAATCTTTTAAAGAACGTTTAATGTTCTTTAAATGGCATTTAATACAAAACCATTCAAGTGTGTGTTATGATAATTTTTTACCAACTGTTACGATCCGGGCTGTCCGGGGACCTGGGGGAACAATTGAGGATGCATGTTCTCCTGTTAAATGACCACAACAACATTTATTTACATAAATATAACACAAAACACAGAATATCACAAAAATAGGACACATCAGCAGCAACTCAAAACTGGTAACAACGACAAAACTCTCATTAACCAAATGAATACACACACTTCCTTAACCGAGTGATGTCTTATTTAAGCCAAAACAACAAACAGTTCAACAGTTTCTAAGAGCACCCAAAGCTGTTCCATGTAACAAAACAGATGCTGCTGAGGAGACACCAGACCAGGGAACCTCTCTGTGGGGTAAACTTCCCCTTCTGGCACAATGGTTGTGACGCCTTTGCTCCATGGTAAAGTTACCCGACATTAAGCTATGTTATGCTATTCAAAATGTATCAAATCAAATCAAAACCAAATCAAACTTTATTTATCGAACTTTTCATGCAAAGCAAGCAACACACAACGTGCTTAACAGATTAAAATGACCCATATACAGGTGCTGGCCAGTAAATTAGAATATCATCAAAAGGTTGAAAATATTTCAGTAATTCCATTCAAAACATGAAACTTGTACATTATATTCATGCAATGCACACAGACCAATGTATTTCCAATGTTCATTACATTTAAATTTGATATTCATAAGTGACAACTAATGAAAACTCCAAATTTGGTATCTCAAAAAATTAGAATATTCTGAAAAGGCTGAATATAGAAGACACCTGCTGCCACTCTAATCAGCTGATTTACTCAAAACACCTGCAAAGGCCTTTAAAAGGTCCCTCAGTCTTGTTTTGAAGGCACCACAATCATGGGGAAGACTTCTGACTTAACAGCTGTCCAAAAGACAATCATTGACACCTTGCACAAGGAGGGCAAGACACAAAAGGTGATTGCTAAAGAAGCTGGCTGTTCGCAGAGCTCTGTGTCCAAGCACATTAACAGACAGGCGAAGGGACGGAAAAAATGTGGTAGAAAAAAGTGTACAAGCTCTAGGGATAACCGCACCCTGCAGAGAATTGTGACGACAAACCCATTCAAAAATGTGGGGGAGATCCACAAAGAGTGGACTGCAGCAGGAGTCAGCGCTTCAAGAACCACCACGAGGAGACTCATGAAAGACATGGGATTCAGGTGTCGCATTCCGTGTGTCAAGCCACTCTTGAACAAGAAACAGCGCAAGAAGCGTCTCGCCTGGGCCAAGGACAAAAAGGACTGGACTGATGCTGAGTGGTCCAAAGTTATGTTTTCTGATGAAAGCAAGTTCTGCATTTCCTTTGGAAATCAAGGACCCAGAGTCTGGAGGAAGAGCGGAGAAGCACAGAATCCACGTTGCATGAGGTCCAGTGTAAAGTTTCCACCGTCAGTGATGGTGTGGGGTGCCATGTCATCTGCCGGTGTTGGCCCACTCTGTTTCCTGAGGTCCAGGGTCAATGCAGCCGTCTACCAGGAAGTTTTAGAGCACTTCATGCTTCCTGCTGCTGACCAACTTCATGGGGATGCAGACTTCACCTTTCAACAGGACTTGGCACCTGCACACAGTGCCAAAACCACCAGCACCTGGTTCAAGGACCATGGTATCCCTGTCCTTGATTGGCCAGCAAACTCGCCTGACCTTAACCCCATAGAAAATCTATGGGGTATTGTGAAGCGGAGGATGCAATACGCTAGACCCAACAATGCAGAGGAGCTGAAGACGACTATCAGAGCAACCTGGGCTCTCATAACACCTGAGCAGTGCCACAGACTGATCGAGTCCATGCCACGCCGCATTACTGCAGTTATTGAGGCAAAAGGAGCCCCGACTAAGTATTGAGTGCTATACATGCACATTCTTTTCATGTTCATTCTTTTCAGTTGGCCAACATTAGAGAAACAAACATTTTTTCATTGGCCTTTAGAATATTCTAATTTTCTGAGATACCAGATTTGATGTTTTCATTGGTTGTCACCTATAAATATCAAAATTAAACGTAATATAACATGTGTCTTGCCCTCCTTGTGCAAGGTGTCAATGATTGTCTTTTGGACAGCTGTTAAGTCAGAAGTCTTCCCCATGATTGTGGTGCCTTCAAAACAAGACTGAGGGACCTTTTAAAGGCCTTTGCAGGTGTTTTGAGTAAATCAGCTGATTAGAGTGGCAGCAGGTGTCTTCTATATTCAGCCTTTTCAGAATATTCTAATTTTTTGAGATACCAAATTTGGAGTTTTCATTAGTTGTCACTTATGAATATCAAATTTAAATGTAATGAACATTGGAAATACATTGGTCTGTGTGCATTTCATGAATATAATGTACAAGTTTCACGTTTTGAATGGAATTACTGAAATATCTTCAACCTTTTGATGATATTCTAATTTACTGGCCAGCACCTGTAAGCCACAAACCATTCCCAGGCATACACACACACACACACACACACACACACACACACACGCACACACGCACGCACGCACGCACGCTCGCACGCACACACACACACACACACACACACACACACACACACACACACACAACACATTAAAAGCCCACAGTAAACACTAGGCTGAGCTAGGGGTTGTATGAACTAGTCGACTAGTCGACTTCACGGCTCTGTAGTGATTTTTTATGCCTGTCATCGACTAGTCGCTGTCACGTGATAATGATTGACAAGATGCAGTCCTCGGAAAAGACAGCAGGTGATGAGCCCCTGCGCGTTGGGGGGCGGAGGCGACGCGCTGTGCCAGGGCGTTGGTACTGACACCCGCCGTAAAACGGACATTTAACCAAACTGTGACCTTTTCCCTCTTGCAATTTTACCTTCCTCGTAAGGTAAGTGCTCGCCCCGTAATCGGAAGGTTGCTGGTTCGAGTCCCGCTCGGTCTGTCGCTGTCGTCGTGTCCTTGGGCAAGACACTTAACCCACGTCGCCTGCTGGTGGTGGTCGGAGGGACCGGTGGCACCAGTGCTCGGCAGCCTCGCCTCTGTCAGTGGGCCCCAGGGCAGCTGTGGCTACATTGTAGCTCATCCCCACCAGTGTGTAATGTGTGTGTGAATGGGTGAATGACTGATTGTGTTGTAAAGCACCTTGGGGGGTTCCAGGACTCTAGAAGGCGCTATATCAAATACAGGCCATTTACCATTTACCATTCCCCTCACCGCCATCCTAATCTTGACCAGTTTGCGAATGCAAAGCTCTGATCGTTGACGCGCTCCAGACATCTGCGTCCTGAGCACCGCCAAATCAGGTGTCACCACCTCAAAAACAAATTAAACACGCGATCGTTCATGTCGGCTCATTTCCTTTCATGTTTTCTGTCTGTTATTTGTGCCTGATGCGTTTAGCTGCTGCGGAGCGAGGCGCATTACCTGTTTTGTCCTCCGGTGACGCACCCCCAAAATTCCACTATCTCCGCTCCGGCACGAACTCCGCAGCAAAGACAGTCCAGTTGTAGTCAATCGGCGAGCAGCGGCACTCTGCTGTTTTTGCGGTCGGTAGATCTTTTAGAACTGCAGTTCAAAGGTAACTCATAAGGTGAATATATATGAACCCAGGTAGCAGTTTCTGTTTAGGATTGAGAGGAGATGCAGGAAGATAATAAACAGGCAGGACAGAAAAATAGTCAAATAAAAACAAGTTAGTTTTTGTACCTGGTGGTTGCAACAAACAGACACCATTGAAGGTAATCAGAAGTGAGGAACAGAAAATGAAATAATTATTTTAATGTTTAGAGCAGCAGGAACTCCGAGAGGCTGCAGGCGCATCAGTGAGTTAGCGGCCGCTGCGCAGGGGGAGGGGGGAGAGGGCTGAAGCAGAAACTACCGTTGTTAAAAGAAATGTGTTTAACTTTGAAAATGTGGACGCAATTTTAATTGTCAAAAACTCCAGCGAACCTACCGACCCGACCCCCCCCCCCCCCCCCGGTGCCGCTTCCGGTGTATGACGTCATCAACGACTAGTCAATGTCGACTCGATTTTCATTACTTGACTGTCGACTTTAAAAAAATTTAAGTCATGCAACCCCTAGGCTGAGCTCAGATTGGACAGGTAATGAAAGACACGCAATCAAGGGAGCCATCTGCCTCGACAGCAGCAGATCCACGGCAGCAGCCAAGACACCAATCTGCCCTGAGATCCTGCCCTGGGAGGGAGGGTGGCAACCCCCACCACTAAGGTCGTGTCTAAACAACTCACAGCTGCTCTTGATGAACATAACATCTATGATAGCTTCCAGTCAGGTTTTCGTAGAGCTCATTCTACTGAAACAGCTCTTCTTAGGGTCTCTAATGACCTTCTTACCCACAGTGATGCAGGGGACTGTTCTGTTCTGGTCCTGCTGGACCTGACTGCAGCCTTTGACACTGTTGACCATCACCTGCTACTGGAGAGGCTGAGAGACTGGGTAGGCCTATCAGGATCTGCTCTGGAGTGGCTCTCCTCTCATCTCTCTGAGCGCTCCTTTTCTGTGGCCATCTCCAAGTTTAGGTCCTCCACCACCTCCCTTACCCAGGGTGTTCCACAAGGTTCTGTGCTGGGGCCTCTGCTCTTCCTCCTCTATCTGCTTCCTCTTCAGCACATCCTGAGCTCCTTTAAAGGAGCCTCCTACCATCTTTATGCAGATAATATCCAACTGTACATCTCCTTTAAGCCCCATGAGATGTCTAAGCTGCAGCTGTTACACACCTGCTTAGACTCTATCAAAACCTGGATGGCTGGGAGCTTTCTTCAGCTGAATGAAGATAAGACTGAGATCCTCATCTGTGCCCCAGACAAGCTGGTTCCCAAAGTCAGAGACTCTCTTGGTCAGCTTCTTCCCACACCAAACCTTCTGTCAGGAATCTTGGTGTGACCTTTGACCCAGCTCTCACCCTGGATTCTCATGTCAGTTCTCTTGTTCGCTCTTCCTTCTTCCATCTCAGGAACATTGCTAAGCTGAGTCCCATTCTGTCCCGCTCTGAACTTGAAGACAGTTCTCCACACCTTCATCTCCTCACGCTTAGACTACTGTAACTCTCTTTTCACGTGTCTGAGCAGAACCTCCCTGAACCGTCTACAGGTGGTTCAGAATGCCTGTGCAAGGCTTCTGACCAAGTCCTCCAAATACACCCACATCACCCTGCTTCTCCTCCAGCTTCACTGGCAGTCAGTCAACTTCAGGGTTCATTTTAAGATCCTGGTTCTGGTCTATAGGGCCTTACATGGACAAGCACCATCTTACATTGGTGATCTTCTTAGTCCCTACACCCCCAGCAGGTCCCTGAGGTCCAGTGACCAAAGCCTACTGGTTTTGCAGCACCAGGCTAAAGGTCAAAGATGACAGATCATCTGCTGCTGTGGCCCCCAGACTCTGGAACTCTCTCCCCCTGAGCCTGAGATCAGTGGACTCAGTGGTCTCCTTCAAAAAGCAGCTGAAGACTCACCTGCTCAAGCTGGTTTTGGTGTGACCTTCATCACCCTCTCCTTGTTCTGTTCTCCGCACCTATTCCACTTTTCTCAGGATCCACTGATTTCCCTCTTTCCTATTCACTCTCTCTCTTTCTTAACATTTTTTAATCACAATAGTCTATTTTTTGCCTTTTTAAATATATTTTAATCATTTTCTAAATTCTTTTTTACATTTTTACACTTTTTGTTTTGTGAAGCGCATCATGATTTTTATCTTGAGAGGCACTATAGAAAAGATCTTTTCTTCTTCTTCTTCTATCTGGGCACTACCCAAGGAGCGCCCCAGCCGCCGCCCACCGACCACCGGTCCCGAGGCAGAGGGCTCCACAGAGGAAACACTGGAAGGATTAAAATACTTAACATGTAAATTAACAAGAGCTAATATGGAAAATGTGTGAAATGTATTATGTAAAATATCCAATAAAATGTGATTATAGAAATCAAACAACATAAATGTGTAACACAACAATAATTAAAAATAAATAAATAAGTAAAACAAGCAATGCAATAATTAGTAATCAGTTAAAAGCTCAACTAAAAAGGTGGGCCTTGAACCTGTTCTTAAAAACATGAACGTTCCCTGCGGCCCTGAGATCCTCCGGCAGCCCGTTCCAGAGGCAAAGGCCGTAATAACTAAAAGACGCCTCGCCGTGAGTGTGACTCCTGACTTTAGGAATGACAAGGAGACGGCTGTAGAGAAGCTCATGGACCACGAGGATTCATATGGTAAACGCAGTTGTGAGAGATAAGATGGACCAATACCGTTAAGACACTAAAAACCATTAAAAGTATCTTAAAATGGATCCTGAAACATACAAGGAGGCAATGCAGTGATTGTAAAACTGGAGTGATGTGCTCCCGCTTCCTGGTCTTCGTCAGGACACGTGCTGCTGAGTTTTGTAAAAGTTGTAGAACTGAAGTACTCTTTTTGGGAAGACCAGAAAGCAGGGCATTGCAGTCGTCTATCCTACTGGTGATAAAGGCATTAATCAGCCTCTCCCTATTGGCCCGAGAGAGAATGGGGCGGACTCTGGCGATGTTCTTTAGATGATAAAAACCTATTTTAGTGACGTTTTTAATGTGGGGGACAAAAGTCAGCTCAGAGTCGAAAATCATGCTCAGGTTGTTCACATGTGAAAATGGATTAAGACATTGATTGTAGTTTTGGTAAAAGTTCCTCTCTCTGGGCCTCAGGACCATGACTAAAACTTTTTGTTTTGTTTTGTCCCGGTTGAGCTGGAGAAAGTTTTCTGCCATCCAGGATTTAATGTCTGAAATGCAGATAAAACGTGCATCCACTGGCTGTGTGTTATCAGGAGACACAGAGATGTACAACTGTGTATCATCAGCGTAACTGTGGAAATTCACCCCGTGTCTCCTGATGATGCCTCCAAGAGGGAGCATATAGAGGTTAAAAAGCACTGGGCCTAAAACTGAGACATTACACATGAAAGACAAACTATATTAATTAACTAGGCCACTGTTGTTCAAATGCAACATCTGTCAGTGCGATCCAGGGCAGCTGTGGCTACATGGTAGCTCAACCCCACCAGCGTGTGAATGTGTGTGTGAATGGATGGATGACTAATGTGTGTGTTGTGAAGCACTTTGGAGGGTTGTCAAACCCTAAGAAGGCACTATACTAATACATGTCACCTACTAGAATATTGTTAACTCGTTGGCTGCCAGCGTTTCTCACCGTTTTTACTGTTTTTGTAAGAAGAGTCACTAGAAGCGCGCTAGAATGATGTTGATGCCAAAACAACCAAAACAAAGCGGAGACTCACCTCTTACATTAGGAGGAATCCACGCGTTTTGAGCTTTATCCGTTCTTTCATAATCCGTTGTTGAATTGTGATCGGCAGATGCTTTTCCGGTTCACGCCTCACTTTTTTTTTACAGCAGCGGCCCAAAACGATCTCCTAACACATGGATTTTCTGCTTCCTGATCACGTGACGTGTGACGTATGTGGATGAAGATCGGCTTTAGAGCTGAGATGTTTGTTCTCTCGGTGCGGGGGCTCGTTCCGACACCCACACAATAAAAAAAAATGCAAATGACGACTTTAGTCGTCAATGGCAGTGAATGAGTTAAGAGACGTTAAAAATGTTTTAAGCTAATTTGTTTTCCAAATTTGCTATAAAAGCTTCAAGTTTAGCATTTTTAAAAATGCACGTCTTGGCTAATAGAAGCTAACCATTAGCATTAGCAACTCCAATACACGGCAGAACTCCTCCAGGCTTGTGTTAGTTGTGGAGATAAAACATCAACATTGTAGAGCAAACAGAGTCAGTGGTAGAGTTGTGTTGCTGTTAGCCAATCAGAGGAGATGTTTGAATATCAGGAAGACTCCAAATCCTGCTGCCTTTCCCCTTTCCCTCTTCCTGTTCCGCTGGCCAACTTCTACTTCCTGAAACAGGAGTGCCAGAACCCCCCCAATAATAAAGACTACTGCAGATTTATTGAAACAATGATGTAGTGAGAGCTATAAACTTGTCCTTATCCTTTCTCCCTCTCTAGATTTGGATGGGAATGGTTACATTAGTGCCTCTGAACTGGGCGCCCTGTTCCGAGAGGTGGGCTGTCCGTTACCTGGATACCAACTACGAGAGCTCCTCCAGAAGCTGGATCGAAACAATGACAGCAAGATCAGCTTTGAGGAATTCACGGCTGTAGGTAACGCTAACTAACTAACTAACTAACTAACTAACTAACTAACTAACTAACTAACTAACTAACTAACTAACTAACTAACTAACTAACTAACTAACCACTACAAAACAGCTTGAGAAAGAAGATGGCACAATGTGGAGCTTACCAGTTCACTGCAATGCAAAAAAGAGCAGAATTTGTGACATACTGCCTGCCCACAAACAAACAAATAAATAAATACACCTATGCTTAAATACATGGCCCACCCCATTCTGAAAGGGCTTGAAACCCCACAGTAGATATTGTCCACTCTGTTAAATACCTTGGAGGTCATCTTTCTGACACACTTACCTGGTGCTCCATTACCACAGCTGTTATCTTGAATGGCCACCAGCGCCTACATCAGGGGTGGATAACGCCCTTCCCCAAGGGCCGCCATACAGCATGTTTCAGTTTTTTCCTGCTTCAACACACCTGATTTTATTCAGTAGGTAACTAGCGGGCTTCTGCAGAGCTTGGAGGCCAGATCACAGCAGACCCGTCTCACCCTGGACAGTGTTTTTGACTTGCTCCCGTCTGGCAGGAGGCTCACATTCATTCGGACCAGAACCTCTTGCCACAAAAATAGATTCTTCCTCTCTGCGGTTGGACTCATGAACATCAATCGTAGGCCCGCCCACTCCAGCTGCTTTGTTTCAGTCACATGACCCTGTGTTGCACCTGAACTGACCCGCTCTGACTTGTACCTACACTGACTTCTATAAAGTAGCTGCTTCTCTAATTATTGATTCCTTATAATTATCATTTCGTTGTGTTTATTTCTTAGTTCTAATTTTGTGTATCATTTATTTTTTCTTGCACCAATGCTGTGATTCTCACAGATATGGATATAAAACCTTCTGATTCTGATGGATGAGCTGCTGAACAGGTCAGTCAAGTGTGTTGGAGCAGGCAAACAACTAAAACATGTAAGATGGTGGTCCCCAGGGAAGGGAGTTGCCCGTCCCTGGCCTTTATACTCTAACCCCTTAAGCCCTAGGCCTATTTTGAAGCCTATTCCTCGAAAAATGGTAAAAATGGTATTTAATGGTAAAAATAGTTTAGATAACCCTGAAGTGCTGAGTTTGCTGATTAATTTGTTGGGAATTATTACTATTTCTTCTGTAGTGTGAGGGTTGTTTTGGGCCTGTTAAGGAACTAACGTCATAGGGCAGCACCATCTGAACCACTCGGCCCGATGCAGCTCGACCCGACCACTGCTCCCAAAGGCACGGTTCAGTATTGTTCCTCTCCTGTAAATGGTCTGTATTTGATATAGCGCCTTCTAGAGTCCTAGAACCCCCCCCCCCCAAGGCGCTTTACAACACTATCAGTCATTCACCCACACATTCACATGCTGGTGAGGATTAGCTACAATGTAGCCACAGCTGCCATGGATCACACTGACATAGGGCGAGTACTTTTAGTCCCTGCTTCGTTGAGGAACCTGGCAAGATTGAGTTGGACCAGCATCGTGATTCTGGCCGCTGATAGGCTAGGGCAGCGGTTCCCAAACTTATTTAGCCGCGCACCCCCTTCTATGTCCCGACCATGTCGACGCACCATATGTATATATATATATATATATATATATATATATGTGTGTGTGTGTGTGTGTGTGTGTGTGTGTGTGTGTGTGTGTGTGTGTGTGTGTGTGTGAATCTGCGATCCGCTGCCACGCGGACTGGAATAACAAATGCTGCAGTAACATGAGTTGTAGTCAGATTCGGAGTCACTGGCTGGAGCGGACCCGACTTTAATACGTCATCCCAAAATAGAAGCTAATATCTTAATTTGACCTTGAATGAAAAATGTTGTTATAAAACCTCTTAAAAGTTTTTTTTATCACTGAGGAGGCAGCGCTCATTTCTGTCTTCAGTCTGACGGAGCGGCGCATGTGCTTATTGAATCTGTGTGTGTGTGTGTGTGTGTGTGTTCGGCACAGCTCCAGTCACCGCGTCTCGTTATTGGCGCTATTTAAACCAATGTTGTAAAATAACTTCTGCCCAGCCCAGATGTGCTCACTTGTGCACCCGTGAGCCGTGGTTCCGCTGGAACGCGTCTGACCTCTGACAGACGCACTCTGAACTTCAGATCTTCAGCGCGCTGTTAATAGCCTGAATGGGAATCATTCCTTGATTTATTTAGCTACATCCACAATGTTCTGTGTGTGAGGTTTACAATGTCAGAACACCTGCATGAGACAGGTGTTAATTACAATCTGCCAGAATGACTCACAACCTTCAGATTCCTCCAACACAGTTAAAAATGATCAAATATGGAACATATCGGCGTGCGCAGGTCAGAGTGCTGAAGCTCGGCGTATTGTTAGTATGACGCTAGGGCATATGCGGAGGACACACACACACACATGCAAAATATACTTGTTTTCAATTACATTTATTGGGCCCACTTACTTTTTCTTAGGCCCACCCACAAATGAGTTTCTGGCTACGCTAATGGTGACATATGACAGACTTCTCTGAGCTCCACAGCCATTACACTTTTCACCTCGAGCAACCCCCTAGCGGCAGCTCGCGCACCCCCAAGGGTGCGCACACCACACTTAGGGAATCCCCGGGCTAGGGGGCAGAGCCACTGGTTGCTCTGGAGTTTTTTGCTTTCCGCTTCACTGCCTGCAGCCATTTCCTGGTTCAGAGTCTGACAAAAAGCCATAAAACTGAGCAGAATGTCCAGCAGCACCATTGTTTAGGCTCAGTTGTGTTTCTGTGGAGCGTACAGGTTACCGTACACTGTTTACTGATCACCTCGTGTTATTTTGTCACAAGTAAAGATCACACACATACCTGTCTGAATGCCTGCTGGCCACATCAGGTTACAGTTCTTGGAATGAACAAGACTATGGCTCGACTGAGTGTGTGTGTGTGTGTGTGCATTTCTGACATTCAGATCTTCCAGGAGATGAAGGATGACCGCATGGCTCAGGGTTTCAGGAAAGCTCTCAACAAGAAGGAAGGAATCGTGGCCATCGGGGGTACCAGTGAGATCTCCAGTGAGGGAACTCAACATTCCATCTCTGGTTGGTAAAGTCTTGAGCATTCATTCAACAAGCACACTTTTGGAGTTTGATGCTCATAAAGTGGTTTGAATATTTCAGAACAGGAGCGCTTTGCCTTCGCCAACTACATCAGCACAGCTTTGGAGAAGGATGAAGACCTTAAGCATGTTCTGCCCATCAACCCCACCACTGGAGCTCTGTTTAAAGCCTCAGCAGATGGCATTTTGCTCTGGTAACCTTCCTGTTATCATTTCATTCTGTTCTCAGTGAGTCTAGATTTTAGTCACTTTGAGTCTAGATTGTTGAATCTTTCACAATATTCTGACATTCTGAATGCGGGGTTTTCATCAGCTGGAAATGAAGGCTGAAACATCTGGATTTGCCTGGAATGACTCTGTCTCATAGATTTGTTTCACCTTTTAGGTTGAATTAGTGACATTAATGAACCTTTGTATCGTTTTCTGATTTTTCCAGTTTCCCCAGCATCTCGTGATTCACTGGACTGGTTTTAATGAAACTCCCAGGTGTAAAGAAATTTGGCTGGCTCAGCCATATTTGTAAAGAAAAAATTGACTGGCTCAGTTATATTGTAAGGAGAAACTGTCTTTACTCAGTTATATTGTTAAGAAGACTCAAAGGTTGTTTTCATCGATAAACTGACAATAATATCTGTGTGTCTGTGTTTCAGTTCAATGAGGAAACCAGTTTGACAATTAAAAGTTTTAATTCATCAAATTAAACTAATGATTTTGAAAATTGACAAACAGGAAATAACAATCAACATTGGCAACTTTGTGGGACAATCTTTAACAGTTGATATGCTGTTCTTGCTCAAATAGACCTTCTGTTGGTGAATGAAGATTGAGAGTAATAGGATGTGGTTATGGATGCGTGTGTGTGCAAAGTGTCGTGAGAATTGAACATGAGGTGAGATGGATGCGTGTGTGCATCTGATTTTGCTTCAGGAAGAAACAGGTGTCTGAGTGAAGTGATGGTTTGGATAAACTTAGGTCTTATCAGAGAACTGCATCAAACGCTAAACACCGTGCTCTGTCTCACCGAACTCTTGTGGACCCTCTTTCGGATCCGGGCCGTGGAGGATGTTGTGGTTCATCCAGATGACACCAGGCTGACAGAAGAGACGTAGGTGTCGAACGGAACCGGTCCAGAGTTGCCCTCGGTACACGTTGATGGTAAAGCGTTTTGTCGATGCGCTTTCTTAAGTTAATTCACTCAGAAATCAAAAGACTCGGTAATGAGTCTGCGTTAGAAGTTGCGATTCAGCTATTCTGCCTGGCTTGGCAGGAACAGCGTTAGAGAGGGGGGGGAAGAAACGAGCCAACCGGCTCCCCCCCCCTTTCAGCGGTTATTCCCACGTCCTCTCTCCTTCGTTGTCAAGCACGAACTGAAATCATAAGACTAAAACTTACCAAAAACCTTTCTCTTCTCAAAGCAAACGTGTGCATCAGCAAATGTGTTTTGGAGTTTAACTGTGAGAATCTGTGTGTGGGTGTGTGTGCTTGAGTGTGTGTGAAGGTCAGCAACAAACACTCTCAACATTATCTAATTATGGATTCATTAAATCTCTTATAATTACCTCAAAGCATAATAGTCATTCATTTGATTAAAACACATTTATAATGAGCAAATTGATGATTAAACTTTTAACATTCAAAACAAGAAAAGGAAGTTTAAACTTTATGTTTTGACTTGTTATGACTACTTGTCCATGAGAACTCCTTCTTCTGGTACCGCAGGTGGCAGATGTTATGGTTTCCTCCCAGACTCGCTGGCGTTCAGGTCTTAATCTGTGGGTGAAAGTTCTCAATGACCCAGCTTTGACCCAGCTGAGTCCAACACCACCTTTGTGACAGAAAACCCATATTTCCTCACGTTACACAGGAAATAATTAATGGATGTATATGATTGAATGAAGATGGCTCCTACAGCTGATCAACAATAGCAAACACAAAAATAGAGATGCTATTATAGATATTGAGCTAAGCGTTGGTGTTCTAGTAGCGAGAGTCTTCCCTAACACGTACCCCAAGCACCAACTGATTGAAAACAATGTCATTAATTGCTGGAATCAAACTTTTTTGTTTGCAAAACTCTGAAAATGTTCATAAGGAAATTTGGTGCTGCAGTACCTGGGAGTCTACCCTAACGTAAACACTTGCTTCCATATTTTTTGTTGGGATTTACTTTTATATTCTTTCATTAAAAGGCAGGTAAAATTTGGTTTGGGGAACCTTTACTGAAATGCATAGAGAATTTATGTATTTCAAATACATTTAGTTCTGTTGGTTCACACTACTGTCTGGTTATGGTTAAGGTTAGGGTTCATAGCACCACAGCAGAATACTTTAACAGTTCTTCTGCACCGTACAATCTCATGACCCAGCTGGCAGACCCCCCCTTTCAGGAATTCAGAGATAGTGGCCTCCAAGAAAGTTTTAGGGAGGGTGCCGATTTCGAAGGCCTCGTTAAACATATATTTTAAGGCAGGGGCTAATAGGTCTGCGTTGGTTTGATGTATTCTGTTGAACACCAATCAGGTCCAGGTGACTTATTGCAGTTGACAGATTTAATGGCCTCTAAGATCTCTGCTACCATAATTTCACAATGGGAATTATTCTAGAGGTTGCTTCCGCTCTGGCCTGATGGATTAGTTGTCTGGTAGCTTTGTCCCCAGATTCAGAAAAGCTCAGCTTTGCCTTGAGTAATTGTACCATAGTAGTAGTAACATGATTATCATAGAGGTTGGGCTCCATATTAGATGAATACCCATCATCAACTTCTTTAATTTTACGTTGCAAACCTAAAACCTGCTTTGCTTTTGGTTAAAAACAAGACCTATAAGTTGGCCTCTCACTCAGGCCTTGGAGTCTTCCCAGATTGTGCCTCTTTATATCTATAGTGAGTCATTGAGTTCAAAATACAAAGATATCTGAGTCCTTAAGAACCGTCTGTAGTCTTCTTCTGGTAACAGTTCACAGTTGAACCCTACCATAAAAATAGTTTGAGTGAAGCCTCCCAATCAAGATCCAGCGAGACCAAAGCATGAACAGAAATGACAATACTATGGTATGTTAAAGCTTTAACTTTGGATAGTAGCCTGACATCTGTAAGAAAGAAGTTTATACGAGTGTATGGACAATAAGCATGAGAGAAGAAAAGAAAACTGCTTAGCTGTGGGATTTTCATGTTTCCATGGGTCAAGAAGGCATGACTGGGTTTTAAAAACTTCCAGAGATTTGGCCAAAGTAGACATTGCAACATGTTTGTTTGGTGATCTAACCAAAAAATGTAGTTTGCACCAAATCACCCCCCTACAATAATATTATAAACGTCAACATCCTCCTTGAACAGCCACCTTATTGTGGTGGTGTCATGACTCGAGGTAAGTGTTTAACCCAAGACATGTGGAATCATAACTCGTCAGCAGAATTGGTAAAATAAAGTTCTTCATTACAAAAACGGGAACGGAAAACAACACAGGGAAGTCCTGTGTGAGTGAGCGGTGCCGCTCTAGTCCTTGTAGCGTTCAGAATGAACGAGAGAGAGGGGAAGCTGGGGTGAGCGCTGGGCAGAGGGTGAACTCTCCGGGAGGGGTGAGGTAGCAGAGGGACCCAAACAGGAACCACGGAGGAGGATGGGACGTGGTGTGAGAGATCCAAGATTCGTAGACAGCAAGGTGGAGTAGATTGTGTGAGAGTCCTGAGCAGAAGGAAAACAAACACCAGACGTCAGGCAAAATCCAAAAACGTAATCCAGTACACGGTCCGAGGTCATAAATCCAGTAATCAGAGAGCGAGTCAAAACGCGAGCGAACGAGAACAAACAAGTGGCTGGGGCTACCAAAACTGGTGCAATCATCCGGCACAGTGATGTGTCTCCATCCTCCTTTTGAACCCGCGTCCCTGATTGGGAAATCTCCTGCAGCTGCCGCTCCCTCTGCTCCTCACCTGTGGAGAATTAACTCAGAGCTGATGAGAGGAGATGGTGTGACTCACCTCTGCCCAGGAACATGACAGGTGGAGGAGTTTGAGTGCCCTAAGGATCCCAGTAGCTATGTTTTCTGGGGCACTTTGTGCCCTCGGTAGGGTCACCCATGGCAAACTAGTCCTAGGTGAGGGTGAGACGAAGTGCAGTTCAGAACTCTTCTTGGAAGAGTTAATCCCAGAGTCAATCAATTTCCCTCTGGGATTAATAAAGTATTTTTGAATTGAATTGAATGGAAGTTAAATCAAAGAGCCAGAGTAGAGCTTTGGCGGTTTGATCCCCGAACACAAAAACTAGCTATTGGGACATGGAACGTTACGTCTCTGGCTGGGAAGGAGCTGGAGCTTGTGGAAGAGGTTGCGCGGTACCGGCTAGATATAGTCAGGCTCACCTCGACACATAGCTTTGGCTTTGGAACCCAAGACCTTGAGAGGGGTTGAACTCTTTTATGCTGGAGTTGATCAGGGTGAGAGGCGGAGGGCTGGGGTGGGCTTTCTGTTAGCCTGTATGTTGGGGTTTTCTCCGAGGGATGAAAAGGTAGCTTCCCTGCGCCTTCGAGTCGGGAAACGGGTCCTGACTGTTGTTTGTGTTTATGCACCAAATAGCAGTTCAGAGTACCCACCCTTTTTGGAGTCCCTGGGACGAGTACCAGATGGTACTCCAACTGGGGACTCCATAGTCCTGCTGGGGGACTTCAATGCTCATGTTGGCAATGACAGCGTGACCTGGAGTGGCGTGACTGAGAAGAACGGCTCGTCCAATCTGAACTCGAGTGGTATTCTGTTATTGGACTCTGCGCAAGTCGCAGTATGGCCATAACAAACACCATGTTCAAACAAAATGATGCCCATTGGTATACCTGGTACCAGGGCAGCCTAGGTTACATATCAATCACTGACTTTGTTGTATCATCTGTAGCATTAAGGAGTGGCTACATTTATAACAAATGATGAACAAGATGTGATAATTCCATGTGAATATGAAATATCAAACTGATGGATCTTTGAATGTTTAATCAGAAGATTCTAGTTTCTTTTACTTATCAGGGACCATGAACACACTTCCTATTAATTCAGACAGAGTAAAGTTTAGTTTGTAAAATTTATTTATTTCTATTGTCCTAACTAATGATTATACAAGACAAGGTATGAATGATGTAATGTAATGTATGTGGTGGATGTCATGTAATGAATATCAAGTGATTTAATGTGATGAGTGGAATGTTGTAATGGAAGCTAGATGTTTTAGCAAAACCTTTCTTAAGTGTCTGTGAGTTTGTGGAGTCTGGGTTGTGAAATCACTTTGGCTGTGTGTTTGTAAATTAGAGATTTGTTCATTAAACCATCCGACGCAATTTGTGTCGAGTCTACGCACCCTTGTGTGAAGACTCACACCCTGCGCTCACAGGGTGTGAGATCCCTTTCATCCACTTTTGTCCAAAGCAACTTAATGAAGCCAGCAAGTTGCCCTTGAGGCCAACAACAAATACTAATCAGTCAGTCCTAGGTGGCAGTGAGGCAGCATAATGAATCATAGAGGGAAGTGAACATGGAGTGGACAGTAGAGTAGGGGACGGGTGCAGGGAGAGTGCTAGTTTAGAAGATGCTCTCTGAAGAGCAGGGTCTTCAGGAGTTTCTTGAAGATTGACAAGGAAGCTCCTGTTCTGGTAGTGCTCGGAAGGTCATTCCACATCTGTGGAGCGACACATGAAGAGACTGGATTGTCCTGAGCGTGGTGTAGGCACTGCTAGCTGATGATGCTTCGATGACCGGAGCGGCCGAGCCGCACATATGCACATACCACCAGAACTAACTTATACATTACCTGCAGCTCCCTGGTGGCTCATGTCCACATCATAATTGCAGATTAACCAAAATGCATGGTGAGAGACTTTCTCAATAATTTTGCTAAATCTTTTATATATTCTTTCTTCCTCTTTTACCTGTTTAATTTATTGTTGTTGTTTGTTTTGTACAAAGCTGAATTGGTTCCCTTTCCAGTTTCCAATGTGGAAAGGTTAATTCCAGCTAATTTTTGCATCTTTAATCTGCTCTAATTATAAAATGTTTTATTTCATGGGTGACCAAAATTAACTCTTGAACTAAACATGGCCTACTGCCTATAAGCCTGTAGTACTGAAACAAACTATTTTACCAACTGTCATTTACGGATTTAGCTGTTATTGTAAAATAATCTAGTCCAGATTTGAAGAGTCTAAGTATTGTAGTTTAGAGCTGGACCAGATCTCAGGTGGACCTGATGAAACGTGTGTATTTATTCAACTGTAACAAACCAAATAAAAGTTTCACAAATCACAAACTATGTTTTAAGGACTCTGCTATTAGTTTTAAATAATCTAGTTAAAGTCTGAAGAATCTAGGTGTTGTAGATCTTGAGCTGAGCCAGTTCTAATGTGGCCTAGAAATGTGATTAAATCTTCTTGCTTTGAACTTTCACAAATGAAATAAAGTTTTTAAAAATCAGAATGTGCGTACTTGCTACGCAAAATTCTTACAGGTTGGCAGGTCTGCTACTGTTTGTGATTTGAATTTGATGCGTGTAGCTAACGGTAGCCAATGGAGCTCAATGAACAGAGGGGTGACGTGCTCTTTTAGGCTGATTGAAGGCCAGATGTGCCGCTGCATTCTGGACCATTTGAAGAGGTCTCACAGTCAGGCTGGAAGACCAGTTAGAAGGGCATTGCAGTAGTTACGGTGGGAGATGACTGTAGATTGTACCAGGAGCTGGGTGATGTATTGTGTTAGGTACGTTCTTATCTTTCATGTGTTATACAGCACGAAACGGCAACGTAATCGTTAAAGGTTAGCTTGTCATCAGTCACAACACCCAACATTCGAACTGTCTTTGAAGGAGCCAGAGATGGAGAATCATTTTGGATTGAGATATTGTGCTATATGGATGGTTCCGCTGGGATGACAAGTAATTCAGTTTTGGAGCGGTTGAGGTGGAGATGGTGGGATTTCATCTATGTTGATATGACAGAGACAGTCCGAGATTTGTGCAGAGACTGTGAGGTCATCTGGCAGAAATGACCGAAAGAGCTGGGTGTCATTGGCATAGCAGTGGTAGGAGAAGCCGTGTGATCGAATGATCTCACCCAGTGAGGTGGTGTATATGGCAAAGAGAAGAGGTCCCAGTACAGAGCCCTGGAGGACTCCTGTGGCAAGCTGGTGAACAGCAGAAGATTGTCAGAGCCAAGATACACTGAAAGATCATCCTGTCAGGTACGATTCAAACCCGGAGTGTGCTTTCCCTGGGATGCCCATGCTAGAGAGGATGTACAAAAGGAAGCCATGGCTGACCTAGTGTATCCGCCCCAAAAACATTCACCAACAGCTGGGAGAAAAAGGTCAAGGGGCAAGGTCCTTCCATGTCTGTGGGAAGGCCAACAGTTCTTCCAGGTCAGCCAACTAAGCCCCGCAACTTAGCATTATCCTCTGTCACAGAAGCTAGCTTGACCTCCATAAGTGTAACATCCTGACATGTAGCATTAGCGGCAGTTTCCAGGGAGGAGATATGCTGCTGGTGGTCTGAAACACTCATCTTGAACATAGCCAGCGAGGATTCAAGCCCTGAAGAAGCAGTGTTGAACTCTGAACGCTGTGTTCTTCCAACATAGCCGTTAGCATAGCCACAGCCGTAACTGTTTCCTCCTTCTTAGCTCTACTTGACATCTTTGTACATTGTATTTGGCCGTCAAGTAGTTATAGCTGCCGAGCAGATGAAGGGCACAAAGTGAACTTATAGGGTGTATAGAGCTCAGGAAAAGATGACTACTCCATCTTGCTCCAGAACTGGAGGTCCAGATCTCATCTTTTGAAGGGGAACTACATTTTATGTTAGTATTTAGTCCTCATCAGATCCTTGTGTGAGCTTGGTTCTTGTTTAATGTCCTGACTATTTCTTGAACCATTGTTTCCCTCTGCTCTCCCTCTTCCGTACCTTCTGTTTGCTGCCTCTCCAACCGTTCATTTCATACGAGCCTTTGTTCAGCTCTCCTGTCTTCATCAGTCCAGTCCACTTGTGTCCTTTCACACCCTTGTCTGTTTTTTCAGTAAACTGATCAACCTGTCGGTTCCTGACACCATCGATGAGAGAACCATCAACAAAAAGAAGCTGACACCTTTCACCACGCAGGTCAGAAACCCCTGACCTGAAAACTCATTCTTCATTGTAGGATGGATGAAGGAAGGAACTTTAAGGAGAAGCTTGACTTCTCATCAACAGGAGAATCTAAACTTGGCTCTGAACTCAGCCTCAGCCATTGGCTGTCAGGTGGTGAACATCGGGGCTCAGGACCTGAAGGAGGGCAAACCCCACCTGGTGCTTGGACTCCTCTGGCAGATCATCAAGATTGGATTGTTTGCGGATATAAAGCTGAGCCGCAACGAAGGTACAGTGCCAAGAGAAGCATGTTCCTTCTTCCTGATTTCTGTTTGAGGTTTCACCCGCGTGTCTGCGTCCAGCTCTCGCCGCATTGCTGGAGGAGGGGGAGAGTCTGGAGGCGCTGATGAAACTCAGTCCTGAAGAGCTGCTGCTGCGTTGGGTCAACTTCCATCTGAAGAAAACTGGCATGACCATATCCAACTTCTCTGGAGATATTAAGGTGTGAAAGCATCCTTGTGAAGCTATGAAACCACAGCAGGTCAGGTGTTTCTGCATCCATGTTGATGCTTCTTTTGCTCCTTAGAGGAAGAACTGGTCTTCAGGTTTTCCTAAACTCAGTTCTGTAATCTTACTCCGTTTACGAACCTCGTGTTTTATGAACCGTTGCACCAACAGTCAGATATTTATCTCTAACATGATGATGTTTTGTGTATGTGAAGATGTTTCGTCACCAACATCTGTCAATTTGTGTTCCTGTGCAGGACTCCAAGGCCTACTTCCACCTGCTGGAGCAGATAGCTCCAGACGGCACCAAAGAGGGCGTTCCTCGGGTGGAGATTGACATGACTGGTCTCTATGTGAGTTAGCAGTTCACTTCCCATGTCGTCTGGTTTAGACAGATCCCACAAACAGAGCAGATTAAATTCCAGCTTTACTCATTTGGTGGTTTGGCCTCAACTGTTTACAGTATTTGTCTGGAAGACGATTATCGACTTCCTGTTTCCTGTAGGGTTACTTTTAGCTCGCTGTATCATTCTGACTGGACAGGAAGTGTTTTCTGAGCAGATTCTTGTTCTCTGTTTGCTGTTAGGTGATTTTATAGAATCCTATCATCTGAGGTTCCCAGACAGAAACACATCCGTTTTATCTCCAATGGCTAAAGTCACAACGCCAGAAGGGATGTTTGAGTGTGTGTATGTTCATTAGCATAACATAAACAACCTCTCTGCTGAATCACACCTCATCATGGTGGAGAGGACCAACGCAGTGGCGCCCCCAGGAAAGTCTCACAGGACATCAGCAGATCCCAGATACCATCAGCCACAATGAACTTCCTCTGTAGGGTGTCCAGATGTTTCTTTAGTGCCACCTCTCTGCTGAATCACACCTCATCATGGTGGAGAGGACCAACGCAGTGGCGCCCCCAGAAAAGTTTCACCGCCATGTTGACTGCTTATGAGT